TCGATTACCAGTATCCCATATGGTCCCCCAAGCACCGCCAGGAGTAATTCCTGAGCAAGGAGTAATCCCTATGCATCACCGGGTGTAACCCAAAAAGAAAAAAAAGTGAAATATCGAGAGAGACATGAAAAGAGGCATTTTTCTCTGTTTGAATATAACCCACAAGCCTTGTAGGCCAAGCTCACAGAAAGGCAGTGTAGGCCAATGGTTAGGCCTGTGGCCTGGGTTTCAAAGCCCAGCTCTGCCTCTGATGAGAATGAGTTCTCTGAGTTTCAAACCTCTACATGGTCTTTGTTCTTGTCTGCAAAAAGGAGGCAATCAGCAGTCCCTCTATCAGCCAACATTCTAAAATGCTCCAGACTTAGCACTGGAAAATTTGGGCTATAAAGATACCAAGGGATCAAGACAGCTGAGGTGCAACCAACCACATGCATGTTTATAAAACATATTTGTACAAGGTTTCTTTGGGAAACAGACACTCCTCATTGTGATGGCTGGCCTCCATTCAGAAATTAATTTCTCATCTGTAGCCTTTTATGGACCTCCAGGGGGGCTGGAGCGATAGTACAGCAGGGAGGGCATTTGCCTTTCATGTCACTGACCCAGCTTCAATCCTTGGCATCCCATATGGTTCCCGGAGCACTGCCAGGAGAAATTCCTGAGTGCAGAGCCAGGAATAATCCATGAGATCGCTGGGTGTGACCCAAAAAAAGCAAAGAAAAAAAATAAAAAAGATTTCCAAGGAAACGCGATTTGGAATATTGCACCAAATCTTTAAAAAAAATCTTCTAGGGGCTGGAGCAACAGTGCAGCAGATGCCTTTCATGCGGCCGACCCAAGTTCAATCTCCCGCATCCCAGATGGTCCCCCAAGCACCACCAGGAGTAATTCCTGAGTGCAGAGCCAGGAGTAACCCCTGAGCATCACTGGGTATGACCCAAAAAAAGCAGCAACAACAACAAAATTCTTCTCTTGCAGAAACAATAAATTCAGGCTATAGCACCATTTACAGGTTTGAGCAGATTAAAGACCTCTTTCTTCTCAGCTCAGGAGTTCAACCACCCACATTAGTGTACTAGGGATTAACACTGAGGCAAAAGTGGTACAGACTCAGGGTATCAAACAAGCTCAGGGCTGTTTTCCCAGCCACTCTGACTGCACATCGCCCAGCCATCTATCCTAAAGGGCTGTTTGTCTCTACCCCCAGCTTTCAACATGCACTGATATATTCACCTACACATTCAGAGAAATCCTCAGAAAATAAGTATGTGGTTTGGCTTTCACAAAGCCTGAAGAACAACAGCTAGAACATACTGAACATGATAAACATGATCCTCTAATGGTTGTCCCCTGTATCACCTGGAAATTGAGATATGAACATGAGGTCTGCTGTTCCACGACGTGACAAATACAAGTGAGAGGAAATCCCTCTCAAGCTTTCTGCCTTGCACTGCCCAGTGCTCGCCCCCACTCCCTGTCCCTCCAGAGAAGAGCTCTGAGGGCTATTGGGTCAAGCCATGCCTTTTCTTCCTCTTCGATGACCCTTCCAGTTCCAGAAGATTTTCTGATTTCCAAGGAAATCCTATTGTTCATGATCTCCTTGGTTGAGGATTTGGCCCCCAGACTGTTCTGACTTTTGTCACACCAAAAGAGCGTGACAAGGAGTTGAAACCAAAGAAATAATCAAAGTAGTGGGTCACAGCAGCACTCTGCCCTCCGTAGGTCATGAAGAAACAGCAGTGTCTACTGCCAGTGACTACTCAGGCACCCGAGTGAACTATTAGTGTCTGCCACCACCGACAAATATGGTCCCAAAGTGGAATATTAGAGCCCACTCCCAGGGATAATATGGTGCCCAGGTGGAGCAAATCGTTTTACATGTGGGCCTCCAATCCCTCTTTTTGGTCCAGGTCAACTGATGATAATACAACACTCTGCAGAAAAACAACCCAAAAGGGGGCCCCAGACCCCCAGGCCTAAATTCTGTCACCAATAATCCACAAACAGCTAACCAATGTCTGTAGGCAAAAACCATGAAAGAAACACTTTCCAAAGAACCAAAGCAGTCTAGTAATCTAGAATTTCATTCTGTTTTGAATGTAGAAGAGGTAACTGTAATCTGTGTTTTTATTTTTCATTTCATCCGAAATATACACCTTAAATTTTTTTTTTTGAAGAAGGAAAAGAACAGGAGCCAGAGTGACAGTACAGTAGGTAGGGCACTTCACTTGCATAAGGCTGACCTGCGATTGATGCCCACCATCCTATACTGTCCCCTGAGGACCACCAGGAGTAATTACTGAGATCCAAGCCAGGACTAAGCCCTGAGCGCAAGCAAAACAAACACAAAACAAACAATACAACACACAGATCAGTTTCAATATTTGGAACATCCTCAGCAGTCCTGAAAACTTTCTCAGACCCATCCCTTCATACCTTTTGGGGTGGCAGGGACTCGCATTTTTCTGTCTTTGAGGGCCATGAGATTCACCAGGGCTAAGTGCATTACATTTTTTAATTAAAACTGAAAATTAGAGGGATTTGAGTAAGTCAAATCCCTTCCAGCACCCCCAGAGAGGCAGAACTTACATTTCTCATGGTCTCATGTGCTTTCTCCCAAAGGGGACCAGTGGGGGACCACAGGTCCTGCCAACTGTGGGGTCCCCAGCAGTCTGGCCGCCCTTGCAACAATTGCTAAATCTGACCAACAAACCAAGGTGGAGCCCTTGAGACATTTAGAAGGAGCCCCAGCAGCTACGTGTGACAGCCTGCATTGGGGTTCCACGGGGCTGCCACCCGCCCTCCAGCTCCCCTGCCATGCCTGGGACCCCTCCCCTCCCATTCCCCATTGGGAGGCATCTATCCTAATCTTCCTTCAGATCAGGTGGGGCGACCATTAATCATTCCTGTCATCCCCACACCAAGAATCCAGGGCAACAAGAGCTCTGTTTTCCTAAAAACTCTCAGCGCCAGGAAAGAAACCCGAGCAGAGGCTGGAGCAGAGGCTGGACCGTGGAAACCCTCCTGGGCAGCAGTGGGCGGAGCCTGGACTGGAAGAAGCCACTGTAGACACCCACTGATGCTTCCTCACCCACCCAGACTAGCCAGAGAACAAACTTTTTAATATTTTCTTTTTAATTAAATCACACAGTGAGGCTCACAGTTACAAAGTTGTTCATGATTGGGTTTCAGTCATACAATGTTCCCTCCCCGTCCCTTCCCCAGTGCATATTTCTCACCACCAATGCCCCCAGTTTCCCTCCTGCCCCCACCCGCTTCTATGGCAACATTCTCTCTCTCTCCATTTTCTCTTTCTCTCCATTCTCTCTCTCTCTCTCTCTCTCTCTCTCTCTCTCTCTCTCTCTCTCTCTCTCTCTCTCTCTCTCTCCCCTCTCTCATTTTAGGCATTACGGTTTGCAATACAGATGCTGAAAGGTTATCATGTATATCCCTTTACCTACTTTCACTCAGTTCTTGTCCAGAATGATCATTCTCAACTATTATTATACTTAGCCAGAGAATTCTCAGCACAAAGTTTTGAGGGAGGATCCACATGGGAAATGGAGGAGGCAGAGAAGGGCATGAAATGGCCAGTGGGAGAGAAGAGCTGACCAGAAAAATAAAAAAAGATACCAACAACCATGAACAAAAAGCCCAGATTCATTTTGCTTCCTCTGAAGACCAACTTTGGGAGCCACTTTGGATCTATCCAACAACGCATGCATTACAGGTCAGACCCACAGTGGGCCTTCCCAACCCCAAACAAGGAAAACTGTAACAAACTAAAGCAAGTAGAAGGCCCTGGGATTAAAAGATCTCCTGTGTTGAGAGCTGAAAGCCTGTCTAAATCAGGGAGGGGCTGACCTTGAACCTAGACCCTCTAGATAGTGAATGTACGACTATCCACAGGAAAGAACCAGGATGGCAGGAAACAAGAGACAGAAGATCCATTCGAGGATCTCAACTCTGTCATTCACTAGGCTCTACCACATGCCTCCTATCCTGAGTGAACGACATAATACAAAATGCACAAGATAGACACTTAGGGGCTGGAGCGATAGTGTAGCAGGCAGGGTGCTTACCTTGCATGGCCCGCCTGTGTTTGATCCCCAACATCCTATATATAGTCCCCTGAGGACTTGAGGAGTGATTTCTGATTGCAGAACCAGGAGTAACCCCTGAGCACAGCCAAGTGTGGTCCCCAAACAAAACCAAAAAGATGCACCCTCAGGAGAATGCTGTTCTCCCTCTACCTGACCAAGGTCAAGTCCCTTCACAAATGAAGGAGAGTGCACCTGATGGCCAGGGAATGTACTGCATCCACTCTGGATCTTGCCACTCAGGAGTCTACATAGCTGGTTCTCAGACAGGGTCTGAGTAGGGTTTTACCATCCCGGGAAACTGAAGGAAAATGAGAGTGTATTTCTCTAAGTCTGTAGTTCTCTGAGAACTGAGCCCAACTATCACAGATAGAAATCAATTATTTCTGAGGGGTGATTAACAAATGCATGTTGGTTTATTGGTTTCAAGTTTGTGAATGAATTCCCTACAGCATTAAACAGAGTACTTTAGTCTTTATTTGGTCATGTAATTTTTCATCTGCTGTTTTCAGAAGACTAACAAGAACATAGTCAAGGTACAGAAGGGGAAATGATATCCCCCAAAGCTGAGACTCCACCAACCTACCTAGGAAAACGGTAAGACTATTTTAAAATATACAGAACACTCTCTTCAACATATCCAGATATAAGTAAGACTTGAGTAATTAAATGGATGTCCGAGAGGAAACTTGACTTAAATAGGACAACAGAAAGGCCTAAAAGATGCCATCACTTATGCTGGGATATATTTCAAAAGAGCCTGTTATATTTCAGTGCCTCTATCAATGCAAACATAGAAATGTGGATGACTCTACTCTCTTTAAGATAAAACCCATCTGCATTTATATAAGATGCAGATGCAAATCATGTGAACATAAAAAAAGGGGGGGGGGATCTTACCACAAATGCTACTGTGCTTCTGAGTGTAGATTCCCACAAGAAGCAGCTTTTCAGAAACTGGACTGTGTTCCATATTGCCATAGTAATTCTCTTCACGCGGTCTACATCTCTAGATAAGATCTAGTAAAAGGAAAGAAAAGGAAAAATGGAAACTTGGTTTCTACATTCTAAGACACTCTCTTTCCATGGGGCAGCTTGATTATTTACATTCCATGTTATATAGCTGCCAGACTGAAAATAAAATAGAAAAAAGTCTTCAGACATACTCTAAAACTTTTTAAAATAGGATCACCCAGAGAGGCAAAGAAAAGCAAAGCCATTTTTTAGTTCCTTGGATAGAGAAAAGTTTGTTGCCCAAAATAACTACATTCGTTCAGCACAAAAGTGGTCAAAGTGACTGCACTGGATATATTGTTGTATGTTTGAGAGAGGAAGAAAAAGAAAGTGGAACGGGGAATGACTTTCTATAACTTTCATTTGGGAAGGAAATGGAGACATTTAAAACATCAAGTTGAGATCTTCTAGCTCATAAAGAACAACAACAATAAAAAAAAGACAATGGTTTGAGCAATAGTACAGAGGGTAAGGCATTGCTTTATAGCTGCCCACTCCAGTTTGATCACTAGCACTGCAAATGGTCCCCTAAGACCTACCAGGAGGGATCCCTGAGCACAGAGTCAGGAGTAATCCCTGCCAGGTGTGGCTTCAGAACCAAAAACGATAAAAGAAAAGCCTTAAGAGGTAGAAATGGGCGCCAGTCTTCCCCATTACTGCTGTAGAAGTTTGGCCAAGTGTCCAGTGTACAGGAATGTGTTTATTTCTAGGGGAGTCATTCCTGGAGGAAAAGAACGGGCAAAGGAAAATGACCTTCACATCCCAAGAGCTTGAAAGTATTTGCAACTTAAATGCAAGCTACATGTCTAGGAAACTTTGAGGGCGTCCCCTTGCAATAGGCCTATGGACAGAATCCTGGCCTCCCACTGGCCCCCCTACTACCACATGCACGGGCAGGACAGGAGGTCTTGTTTAGCAAAGGAAATGTCTTCTGTCCCCTGAGCCAACGGATGCATTTCCACATGTTTGCAAAGCAGCGACCCCACCTATCTGCACTTGGGTTTTAACTTCCAAGTCCGCAGGGCACAAGGCAATGATAACAACAACAGCTGAAGTATCAGGCCAGTGGGGTGACTCAGATTACACCTACTCAATACCACACGCCAGGCTACAGCAGACCCAAAGCAAACACGTGGGTACAGCTCCCCAAGCTGCCCAGGGCCTTTTCCAACAAGCGTGCCCTAGCCTACACCATACCCAGTTGATGGGAAACCAGGAGCCGAAAGAGATGCCTGTCTCTTTAAGCACCTCCTAAAATTCACAGCTGCTTCTCCCACGGGAAGCAGTGGAAGTAATAAACACTTGGAAAGCGGAACATTTTGTTCTTTGTGTGACCAGCTCAAAAAGGACAATAGGTACTGGGCAAGAATCCTGAATCTTGGACAGGGCTGGGGATCCGGAAAGAGAAGGTCAAGTTAAAAAGAAAGAAATAAAGAAAAAGCACCAGCTTCCCTGAAGGGCCTGGATCTTGCCCTGGTTGTTGGGTCTGCGCCTGAATGCTCCCCTTTTTTTGTTGAACTGATGGCAAAGCAATGCAGGCCACAGGACCAAGGGGGCAAGGGGCCATTGCACAAGATACCACCTTGTCCAACATTTGGACAATAGAGAAGTTGCAAGCGGGAGCAGCTATGGGGAAGGAACCAGGTGCCAATCCAGAGCCCCCGGGTTAGTCCCTGGACCAATCTCACTCTCAGAAAAACTCCCCCCAAAATCACAGAACCAGGGACAAGAGGCATAGTACAGTGGGAAGGGCACTTTCCTGGCACAACACTACTTGGGTTCCTTCCCTGGCAGCACCCGGCCAGGAGTGATCCCTGAGTGCAGAGCCAGGAGAGTAAGCCCTGAGCATCACTGGGTGTGGCCCAAAAGAAAACAAGTCGCAGGACCATAATGATGAGGGTTCTTGTGAGCAGGTCAGGAAGCTCCTAGGAGGAGCTATGGGGAGTAGGAGCGAGAGGGGAAGGAAAGTTGAGGATGCAACTTGCTTGGGATATTAAGGAGAAAGGAATGAGGAGACGGACAGAGAGAGGTAGTGCTAAGGAGATGCAGCCACTGGGAGTACGGCCACAGCAGGCTGAGGGTACCCCCAGAAGCCAGTTTGAGGACCACCTACCTTTTTGGAGAGCTTGCGGCTATCTTCTAAGAAGCGCTTTTCTCTGGGAGTGAAGGTCCTAATACTCGCTTTGACCTAGCAAGACATCATTGTTTTCTTTTTATTAAAACACAAAAAGAGGAGTCGAAGAGATAGGACAGTGGGGAGAGCGCTTGCCTTGCACAAGTCATCCCATAGAATCCCCCAAGCCTGCCAGGATGTGAGCACAGAACCAAAAGGAAGTCCTGAGCATCGCCGGGAGTGCCCCCCCCCCCCCCCCCCCACCAAAACAAACCCAAACTGGAGCATTTAGGACTGGAGAGGTGGCTAGGTAGCAAAGCAATGTACGCCTGACATACAGGAGACATGGGTTCTATCTCCAGCCCTGCAAAAAGAATGCCACAAAAATAAAAAAGGGCATTTATAGGCTCAGTTCTTCTCCTTTTCTTCTTCAGTAATTGGAGAGAATGTGGACATTAAAATGTGACTAGCGATCAAAAGATCTGAAAGCTAGAAAGCCAGAATAAAGGCCAGTTCACACAAAAGACAGGTACCAAGGTGATTTATGGAAAAAGCAGTGTGGGAAATTCTATATGCAGATGCCATGGGTGTGTCTCTAGAGCTCGCTTCCACTTTGAAGGAGCTGCAAGTATAAGTTATTATAGAGGTATTATAGAAACTATTACTGCAAGGAGAAATTCTCAAATGCTGCAGCTTCTGCCAGCAGTATGAAGAAGAACTAAGAAGAGTTGGTCCATGTTAAAAAAAATTAGATTTTAGGCTCACAACTAAAGCTTGCCAAATATATACATGTTTGATAGAGAGAAGAAAAGTGCCTGCCATAAAGGTAGGCTGGTGGGGGGTGGGGGGGGGAACTGGAGATATTGGTGGTGGGACACTGGTGAAGGGACAGGTATTTGGAACATTATATGATTGAAACCCAATCAGGAACAACTTTGTTAACTGTGTATTTCATGGAGATTCAATTTAAATAAATAAATAATGACAATTTTAAAAGAACCTCTTAAAAATATGTGTGTGTTTACACCATTTATATGCAATAAAATGTTCAAGACATGCAAAAAAATCCCTCCTTAATTAAAGTTTCTTATTGAGTCACTACTTGTCTTGATCGAATTGGGTATTAGAAAACCTGAAATAATTCAATGACATGTTACATACTTGTAGCTCTTTCTGACAGTCAATGGTTAGAAAATAACCAAGTAATAAAGCCAAAATATCAATGTTCCCTTGCATTTTTCATTGTTTCCCCCCTTTGTTGAGAATTAAATGGCCTCCATTCTCAAAATTCAACACAATGAAAACAACTGAAAACTGGCTTGGACAACACTGATCGGATGTCTAGTCTTAGTATCTTTCTCTTCTCTCTCCACTTGTCTTTGCTCTGAAACTTTTGCTTTGCTTTGAGGCTTTCCAGACTGGTTTCCCTTTGACTTTGCGGGATGAATAAACTGAGGAACTGGGCTTGGCTAGACTTACCGGATTATAGATGAGGTCCATCTCCAAGTAAATAACTCCTTTAAAAGCATGCTCTAAATCTTTATTCTTCAACACATAACAGTTCTGTTGTCCATCTCTAATCTGTCATCAACAAAAAAAATAAATAAATAAAACACAAACTTTCTATGTGGTTCCAATTAAAGAACTCAAGCAGTACACAATGACCATGCTGAGAATACGGATGAAACAAATACTAAATCATTCATCCTAAGTCAACATTTAATTCTACAGTGCTGTTACAACTGATAAGATAAAGTAGCCATCCCTGGGCTGAAACTGGGGTAGCAGTGGGAAATGAGTGGTACAAATTAGTCCTAAGTCTACATGAGTTTCCTCTTTGAGTGCTCCCAGAAGACACTTCATGTTGAAAATGATGAATATCCTCCCAAATTCCTGGCCTGGACTTTGCACGATTGTCAAGATCATGAGAAAAAGGAAAGGATCAGGAAACTTACAAGTCAGAACAGACTAAAGAGATAAGATAATTCTAGAAATGCCAGGCAGTATTCTGGGTTAGATCTTGGAACACAGACAGAAAAAAAAAAAAAACAGTGGGAAAACTGATGAGATGAAAAAAGATCAGAACTGCTGGTAATATGTAATTTCAGCTTTTGGCTTTAATAGGGGTAATCATGATAAAGGAAATCTAAGTGAGAATTCTAGGGAGGTCTATTTTTGTTTTCAATTTTTCTATACAGCACAATTTTTTAGGGGTCTGAGGAGGGTAAAGGGGCCACACTTGGCGGTGCTCAGTTATTTCAGGCCCTGTGCTCAGTGATTACTCCTGGTGGGCTTAGGGATGCCAGGGATCAAACCCAGATCAAGACCAGCAACCAATCCCTTGTACTATTCCTTCAGTTCAAGGTCCCCAGAGTACTGCAAGGGTTTACTCCTCAGCACAGAGCCAAGAACAGCCCCTGAGCACTTCTGGGTGTGACCCTATACCTCTCCCTCCCCAAAAGAGAACTGGATAAAAGAAATTTGAAAATGATTAAATAGAAATGAAATTCATCTTGATAGGATTAGTTTTCCCAGCCATGAAGCAAGGTCAATGAATCAATGAGCACAGCGTAATTGCAGGTGGCGACCAGCGAAATACCCAGAGTGGCTCCAAACCTTCCAAAGAACCAAGGTCCTGATGTATTCTGTGGACAAGCTTGTAGCCTACAAGCCAAGGTCGCCCCATGGACCCGAGCACATTAAGCCATCAAAGGAATCCTTCTGGACCATTCTGGAAAACCACTTGGGTTCCATCCAAGGCATCCCTCCATTAGCCTGTTTGCCAGAAGCCTAAGACATTTAGTGTCTGCCTCAACGAAGCTTCTGACTGTTCAAAAGCAGATCAGCATCCCCGGGGGGTGGGGAGGTGGGGGGATGGAGGAGTGGGGGGGTGGGGGGAGACATGAGTCCAACTCCAGCTCGGACCCACAGCTGAATTTAGAGGTCATCCTAGCCAGTGACAAATCCCTTTTACTATCCCTTCGGCTCACAGTCCCCAGAAAAGAGCAGAGGGAACTGAGGCACAAAACCGGAGTCCCATTTCAGCAGTCTGTTGCAGCCCAAGTGTCTTAGGAACCAGAGTGGAAACTGGTTGAGTAAGTGTGGGTGGGGAGGAAGCCCAGTCCCACTTTACAAGGGAGAGGTCACCTTCCTTCCCCGTGACACCCCACCTCTCTCCTTCCGAAGACTTTCCCGGTCAGCGGCTCAGAGGAAGGGGGTGCCCCCATCAAATTTTGCTTTCCTTCCTCCCCAGGATCCAAACAGGATCTACAGCTTCCGCCTTGCTCTGCAGGCTCGCATAATCAAAGGTGGGTGTTAAAGTTGAAAAAAATAACAACAGCAAGACACGGGGCCAAGAGCTCTCCGGTCCAAGTCAGCCCTCCTGTGAGCACACCCCATCACTGCACTGGGCTCCCAAAATTTCCATGATTCCTTCAGGGTACAGGAAGGTCAACAGAAGAACAAGAGGAATCATCGCCCCAGAAAGTCCTATTTTATATTGAAAGAAGGTTTAGTGTTTTGTTGTTGTTGTTGTTGTTGTTTTAATGTTGTTTCCTCTTTCTCAATGTCCAAGCATTTGGCAAAATGCTGCCTTAGAGTTTCAGAGTTACAGACTAAAGCAAGAAATTGCCCACATTTGGCACTTTAATATTAAACTCTCCTCCAACACACAAATTACAGGTTGAAAAACTTGCAAAGAGTTGGGAAAATTACAGGGAAAAAAAATAAATCCCTATGAACATCCATAAATATCACTATGCCCTCTTTGCCAGAGGGGAATTAGAGAGGAGTATGGTATGTAGCTGTCTTACATTTTCATTAAGAATTTATATTCATAAATATGTTCATGAAAAGAAGCATTTTAAATGCTTTGTCTAGGTGTCGAACTGCGAGTTGATTTTGCACCAATAAGACTTGATAAAAATGATCTGCTATCTAATTTTAGATACAAATTTCTTAAGTTTATCTGCTAATGTATTTCATTTCTTTCAACTGCTATGTGAGAAGTATATATAGAAAACATAATTTATCATTTCTATAGACAAACGCTTGGTTGATTTGTAATGCTACAGAGATGTCTTTTAGGGGGAAAAATATATCTGTTAAGACTGGGATCTGCTGGGTGGTGACGAAGGCTTTTCCCCTTAATTATTTAATGTTATAATTAAACACTGCAATAGGGGCTACAGAAGCTATTTTCATTCCCCGTGATCTTTCTGTAATTTAACTTCCAACACAAGAATACAGGGTAGCAAGTTCTGTCCTACCCAATTTACGAAGCTCCTCTATAAAAGCATTTCTCTAAAAGGCAATGAAATTTAAACACATGGTACATGCTGACTGTTTGTACTTTGAACTCTGAAAATGATTTTTCTGTTTGGAAATGTTTAAAGCCTCTATTAAGTGGAACAACTAAATCCAAGGGAAAGAAAATTTAGAGGTGACAGCCTAGACAAATACACTTTGGTGTTTAGGTGTGACACAGTCACTTCAGAGGAAAACCAGTGTTTAATTTTGAGAGTTTGGTCGCCAACGTAGAAAGAAATGGCATAGCTTTTATTGTACAACAAGTGAAGTTTTCTGCATTTGTTGGGAGGTTTTCCTGGCTTCTGGCAGAATTTCACTGCCCTAAAATATAAGGGTCATTGGGTAGAATAACAGGAATGTCTTTACCTTGAGTGAGTATTCTTCAACACACATCTTTGTGCACCTGCCTTTCTTATCAGCTAAGTGATAGAACTAAGAAGTTCTTGTTCTATGAGTTTTGAGGGAAAATATATCCATGAAATAATTTGAATCTATTATTTTCTTATTTGGGGGAGGGCAAAAATGCAGAGAGAAAAAAATTATAATTATTTTCACTAAGCAGCACATTGACTACATAATGGTTTAGTTCCTCTATGGACATTTTTCAAGAGAAATTTTCTATTTTTTATATTAATTTCTCTATGAGATGTGATAATTAGAGCTTCATCTTGTGAAGATTTTATACCTTCGTAGTCTCTACCCAAGATTTATGTCCACATCTACTTTTCTCAAACTTCTCAAAAAAATCTAATCATATGCCTTGCAGAGACCAGCCCTCCAAATTCTTTTGGTTACCTCAATCTTAATTTCACTTACCTTTTTTTTTCATTAGTTTTACAAATAACTGATCTGTTTCACTCTTTGGGATGGGGGAAACTAATACTAAAATTAAAACTAATTCAAAGATCTACAGCTTACATATATTCTATGCTACTACTATCTTCAGAAATTTCAAATTTTGTTCATTTATCTTAGTTCCTTTTGTTAGTAGGCTTAATTGATTTCCAACCTGGCATTTTTAATTATGAAGTCAGAGTAAGAATTTCCTTTTGACCCTTCTCCCTAATTTTTATTCGCCTAGGCCAGAGTCGACTTCAATTAGGTCTATAACTGTAGTTTTGGTGTCATCTAAACTACTGGGGATTCATTTCCACCAGGTATTTTAGGGCTCACTTCACTAATAATTCCTATGTCCAAAGGCTTCAGATTACAGAACATTTTCCTAGCTTTTGGGAATCTACTGAGATATCCTGCCTAAACCAGACAAGTGTGGAAACATATGACATGGACGCTGAAACAGGAAAAATTATAGGTTCATGTGTGTGCTCACACACACACACACACACACACACACACACACGATCAAATTTTGCAAGTTGGTCAGCCCACTGTGGTGCAAGAACAAAAGATATCCTAAAGTTTCATTCCCCAAAACGGATCAGCTGATGGATGGACCATCATCTCAACATTTCATCACTGCATCTCAATTGTTACCCACACTTCTATGAAAGCTATTCATAGAAAAGGTTTATATTTTTTATAGTTATCATGGTTGCTTGGGGGGTGCTCCCAAGCACTGCTCTGAAAAATTTAGGGCCACTTCCTGCGATACTTGGCCTGGCTGTGTGGATCTGGTGGTTAAATCCTCTGGCCCAGCCATGCTCATGGAGGCATGGGGGCTCAGGGAAATAGTGATTGTTTTGCTCATCATGAAATAGCCTTCTCTCTCTCTCTCTGTCTCTCTCTGTCTCTCTTTGTCTCTCTCTGTCTCTCTCTCTCTCTCAACTATCCTGAGCTTCCTTCACTTTGGGGCTAGCATGTTCTAGGCATCTCAGAGAAACAGCCACTGACTGCCAGTCTTGGACTCATTGGGAGAGGCTTTCTCCATTGGCATATATCTACATTGACTAATCTTCATATATCTAATCCTCAAATGACACTCCAATGTATAGTTGACTCTACTGAGGACATCGGAAGAATCCTGGTGAGCACCGTTCCCTGCCTTAACCCATCTCCCCATCCCAAACAGGCTGTGCAAACTACATTCAGGTCACCATCAGTCCAACATGCCAATACAGAAACCTGCCCTTTCGATCTTCCTTTATTTATCTGAATGCTTCCTATTGGACCAGAATTTCTGTGAAAAAGTTGGCTGCACTCAAAAGTCACCAATTAAGGGCTGGAACTATAGCAGAGTGGAGAAGGCATTAGTATTGCACACAACCAATCTGCTTCATCCCTGGCATGCTATATGGTCCCCTAAGCACCACCAGGAGTAATTCCTAAGCACAGAGCAATGAGTAACCCCTGAGCATTGCCAGGCACGGCCCCCAAATTAAAAAAATATAAAAATAAATTTTAAAAAAAGTTGCCATTTCAGCCCTGCTCATTTTTTCACTGGTCACATATCCATAAATATCTATAGAAAATAAAATATAAGTACTATTTCTTTTTAAAGCTCAAATGTTTGTATTTACCCAAACACAAACACATATATACATACACAAAAAAGATTAATTGAGTGTATCTATTTCATGAGTCTCCTGACCCCACACCTGGCTGTCCTTGCTGGGGCCCCCTGGGGGGGAGTGGAGTTTCCCTCCCCGCCCCAAGCAGAGCCCCAGCAGCCGAAGACCTCCAGAACCAGCCACAACCATGCTGAGACCACTCTCCATAAGCATGAAGGTACCAACCGAGGAACAAAGGCCCTGGGGCTGAGATCTCCAAGCCTGCTTGGATCGGGGCTGAGCATCCCCCACCCAGATCCTCCATCTTCCAGAAGGCAGGGGTCACACCCACCAACTGCCCCCGACACACACACACACACCCCACCCCGCGCTGTGTAATCCCATCAATGGCCAAGACCCAGAGACTATAAAACCCAGCTCCCAGAAGTGTGGGCTGCATTTGTGGCCGCGTGACCTCTTATTATCTCATTCTTACTTTGGACAATCTGGCAGGCTACCGAATGTAACCTGCCCACACGGCAGAGTCTGGCAAACTCCCCGTGGTATACCCAATATGCCAAATACCAGTAACAATGATGGGTCTCATTCTCCTAACCCTGAAAGAGCCTTGAATGTGACACTTTTTATAATCTCAGGGCTAGGGCGAAGGAAACGTTACTGGTGCCTGCTCAAGGCAATCGACGAACAACAGGATGACTGTGATCGTGATCTATTTCATGGCACAAAACTCGTCAAGGGTGAAACTTGGGCAAATACTTCATTGAAAATGCAAATAAGATATACACCGGCATTTATTTGGTACAAGCAATTATAGAAAATTCATCCCATAAAATTCATTAAGGGAAGCTATTACTGACTATCATGCACACGAACAATGAGATGGTGCTGGGCAACCCCCAAGCCCCCATTTCTCAGGACCGGTTCCTCCTGCCCCCATCACCACAGTGTAAGAGTATTTTAAAGGGTAGACCTTCCTCACCCACCAATAGAGGATTTCTCCTTAGCTCTGAGGAATACAACACCAAGAATGCTTCCCATTTTAAAGAAAGCTTATCTGGCAAAATCTTCCCATGGTGGCTCACAGGATAATTTGGTAAAGGTAAATGCAAGCTTGAATATAAAGAAATGACTTGGGGACCAGGAAGAGTGCAGGGGCTAAGGGGTTTGTCTTGAATGCTGCTGACTTTAGCTCAATCCCCAACGCTGCGTCTGGTCTGAGCACAGAGTCAGGAGTAGCAGCCCCTGAACACTGCCAGGTGTGGATCAAAAGGCAGAGACAGAATTGGGACCACTTCAGAGAGGAAAAGTCAATGAATTGATTGGACTGGATTACAATGAGCTCACATCTCAGCCAGCAATGTCTTCCATCTCTAAAACATCAGGCAAGGTGACTGATTGTACCATTGACAGAGCAATGTGGAAGTGAATCATCAGAGTCTTCCTATTCCAAACCATTCCAGTCACAATTCTCTGCTGTCTCTATCAGAAAGCTTTGACTATCTACTATTTCATTTTTTAAAAAATGACTTTTAAAAAGTCTGAAAGAGACTTTTTCCATTCTGAAGAAGTCCGGGTTGTCTCTGGAACACATACTTTTCTCTTTCTCTCTCTTCCCCAGTATCACATATAGTCCCCCGAGCACTGCCAGGAATGATCCCAGAGCACAGAGCCAGAAGTCAGCCCTGAGCACTGCCAGGTATGGCCCCCAAAACAAAACAAAACCCTATCTTGCTTTACTGGGATGGAGCGATAGCACAGCGGGTAGGGTGTTTGCTTTGCACGGGCTGACCCGGGTTCAAATCCTCCGCCCCTCTCGTAGAGCCTGGCAAGCTAACGAGAGTATCTTGCCCACATGGCAATATATTCAATATGCCAAAAACAGTAACATCAAGTCTCACAATTTGTTGTGAGATGTTACTGGTGCCCGCTCAAGCAAACTGATGAACAACGGGAGGACAATGGCAGTGATCTTGCTTTACTAAAATATAATAATAAAATCAGAAAGAAGTGAAATATGGACCAAAGGAGTAGCACAAAGGTAGAGATCTTGCCTTGCACACAGCTCACCCAGGCTTGATTCCCAGTACCCCATAGAGTATCCCCTCTCCCCATCCTCCCAAGAGTAAGCCTCAAGCATTGGCCACTGTGTCCTCAAATAAACAAGCACACAAAAAAAGTGAAATACGGGGCTGGGGAGAGAGCTACCAGGTCAGGGATGCAGGCTTTGTGGACAGGGGACCCCAATTTGATCTCTGTTACCACAAGGTGAGCAAGCAAGGGGAAGTTTAGTCCTGGAAACCCATGGAAAGTGCTGGGGGACCCTGGAGGGTCCTGTTGGGTCTGAGAGTGTTGAAAAAGTGGCCAGGTTGGACAAGTATTGTGGGGAGACCCCGAGCCTCTGGGCTCCTTTATAAAAGGAGGTCACCTCCTCCTATATAGGCTGGAGGTGACCCCTGGCCAAAGCAACAGACATCAACCCAACTGTTTATCTCCAAAAACAAAAGAGGAGGCTGAAGAGACAGCACAGAAAGGGGAAGCCTTGCACACAGATGACCCTGGTTCAATCCCCAACCCTGCCTACGGGCCCCTGAGCCAAGAGGCATGAGTCAGCCAGGTGAAGCCCAATCCTCCTCCATTCCCCAAAGCATCCCCCCGCCTCAAACAACAACAACCACCAAAAAATAAACAGCAAGAGGAGAAATGTTCATAGATGGGGAAAAGAGGAGAAACTGGATCACCATGAGGAATCTCCACTTCCCCACTGTGCTTTTCTTGATTTTTTTTTTTAAGTAGAGCAAGATGTTTCTATTGAAAGAAACTTGCTTAGGAAGATGTGAGGGGAGAGAGCAAGAGAGGAAGAAAGTGTTCAAGAGAGAACCTGGGCTACTCCACGGTGAACACAAGCAGAGTCAAGCAAGCAAGCGAACATGGTACTCTGTTTACAACAAACAGTGCTTGCTCTCGCGCTCTCTCTCGATGGAGTCGCTGACAAAGTTGTGAGAAGAACAAAAAAGGAGGGAACTCTCCAATCCCCTTCTCCTCTCTGAGAGCCACTGGGGGCTGCCACTGAAGGCTCAGAGCATTTGGCAGCATGGCGGGGGAGGGGGTGGGAGAACCTACCGGGGAACAGCTGCTCTGTCTCTTCCCGTCAAACATCAGGGATACAAGGACTTGGGGAGATATGAACCCAGCCATCAAAGACAGCCCAGATATTGAGGGGCACGGCGCTCCCCCACTCTCTACACATCAAGCAAACTCGCCTCATCAGCGACAAACGACACCAGCCAACAGGATGCCCGTGGAAAAGTAAGTCTTTGGGAAGAAATAAAACAAGTTTTCTTGATGGGTTCATGACCCATGGCTCTTGGACATCACATGGATGCTTGGCAGAAGAGCTGAGATTCTGTATTCGGGGGGATTCGGAGCCTGGCTTGCCTCCCCAGGGCCCTGTGGATGGAGGATTGAGTAATTTTTTCTCAGATTCTGACAAGCTATTTCCCACCCACCCCCCATTCAGATTTGGGTTTACTCTAGTGCATTATCTCTTTCCTTTTCTTTTTTTTCCAGCTTGAAAGCCACACCCACTGGGGCTTGGTACTCCGGTCTCTGTGCTTGGGGGTCACTCCCAGTGCTGCTGGGGATGAAACCCAGACCCACATGTGAAGTCAGAACATAGGCAGCTGAGTGATCTCTCCAGCCCCTGGTGCACTGTCTTCTAACTGGGCTGTAAGAAACATCTTTCTCCAAGAGAGACTCTTATTTTCCTCTGCAGCACAGTTTTTTGAGACTGAACAGTCAAAAGAACTCATGAAAAGACCACTTTGGGGGAGCAGGGGTATGCAGTGGGCACTGAGGACAAAAGGGTGGTCACCAGCCCCTGATCTTTGATGAACTGGGCCCCGAGTCAAAAAGAAACTTGGGTCTGGAAACTTTTCAGGAACAAGAGAAGCCCCAGTCCAGAGATGGAATGTGGGGCCTGGAGCGATAGGACAGCAAAGAGTGTGTTTCCCTTGCACACGGCTTAACCGGGTTCAATCCGCAGCATCCCATATGGTCCCCTGAGCACCACCAGGAGTGATCCCTGAGCAGAGAGCTAGGAGTAAGCCCTGAGCCCTGCCGGTGTGACCCAAAAACACAAATAAGTAAATAATTTTTAAAAATAAAAAACGAAGATGGAATGGGAATAAACTGAAAGACTGATCAGAAAGTTTGAGTTGGGATAAGCTGGCATCAAATCAACAGAAAGAGAAAATATGAGTTGTTTTATTTGGCTTAGTTTATTATTATTATTATTATTATTATTATTATTATTATTATTATTATTACTGTTCGGAGAGCCCGGCAAGATACCTCGGAGAGCCCGGCAAGCTACCGAGAGTATTGGATATGCCAGACACAGTAACAACAAAGTCTCCAATGGAGATGTTACTGGGCCCGCTCGAGCAAATAGACAATCAACGGGAGGGCCTTTACTTTTTTTTTTACCTATTATTATTACTGTATGTAGTATGACCAAGGCTAAACAAGAATACAGAATAAAACAGTTGCTTCTAGCTATTCGTGGGAGAACTTGCCCCAGTTCGAGACCAGTCAATGCAAGGCCACCCTAGACCATAGAAACATGCCAGCAACAAAATGCCTCCCTGGATGTTGATGGGAAAAGGTCACTTACCGACAGCAAGGGGATGGCCACCTTCCCCAGGAAGTCAGGAGGCTTGTCTCCGTCTTCATCAAACACTGTCACCTCTAGAACGTCGTGGATGTCTTTAATAGGGCTGCAACGAGAAGCACAGCAGGGCATGTATAGACACAAACACCCTCGTGAAGTCTGTTCGTGAAAACATGGCTTCCCTAATTAAGCCCGCAGGTCCTCCAAGGATAAAAGCACCATTTAATTAAATTCCAAAAATTAAATCAAACCGACTGTATTCCCCAACCTTCCATCACAGAAGACTCAGACACTCAGAGGGAGGAGGGACAAAAAGGAAAGTCAAGTTGGTTACTCTGACATTTTCCGCGTATGCGTGTACTCCAGGTTAAGACTGTTACAGGGGATGAAGAATGAGTGTAGACGCGAGAAAGAGGAGGGTGGTTTCAAGTCATTTCCAGAGCAAAAATCCCACACACAGTCGGATATTCAGAAGCATTTTGGAAGGTCATGGGGTGGGAGGGAGCGGGGGCCGGAGGGAGAGTGTTACTCCCATACGTGGTGGTACTCAGGCATCATTCCTGGCTCTGTACTTGGGAGACTGTATTTGGTGCTGGGGATCGAAACCACACCCATGGCTGCTGCATTCTTACGCAAGGTAAGTGCCTAACCTCTGGTACTATCTCCAGCTCCAGAAATATTAATTTTTACTTATTAATTTTTAAAATTTTATTCGTTTGGTTTTGGGGCCACACCCAGTGATACTCCGGGGTTACTCCTGGCTGTGCTCTCAGGAATTACTCTTGGTGATGTTCAGAAAAACCCTACGGGATGCCGGGTATAGAACCAGGGCCGGTAATGTGCAAGGGAAATGCCTTACCTACTGTACTACTGCTTCGGCCCTCCAGAAACATTTATTTTTTATGGCTGACCAGAGGCCTGGCATGGCATTAGTGACAGTGAAATTATAGCCATGATTTGTTGGCAATACATGTTGCCAAAATGGGGTGTTTGCAGGTAGCACTTTGTAAAACTGCCTCTCTGTGCTATCTCTTATTGGTCCTTGGGAATGATCCCCAACTCCATCACCTGGCTTCATAACCATTTTTTCAGGAACACACACACATACACACACACAGAGTTTTTCTAATTTAACAGAGACCTCTTCCAGATGACCAGGTGCCTGGATATCTAAAGCTCAGTTAGTGATAGATCCAACTTCTTCCCAGCCAACTTGGAAAAGTAATCTCCAGAAAAAAGGGTGAAACCCCAGGCAGAGGTCAGGGACCCCTATGAGATGCCAGGAATCGAACTCAGGTCAGCCGTGTGCAAGGGCAAACACCCTCCCTGCTGTCCTATTGCTCCAGCCCCAAAATTCGCTTTTCCAAAGACTGGCAGAAGACAACAAGCCTTAGAGGCATTAAAATAATGTTGCTGTGTAGAGATGCCATTGAGGCAGATCTTCTCTTGATTCTTGGGACGAATTAGCCTGGTTAGTCAGAAGATTCCATCTACCCACAGATTCATTTAGTCACTAAAAGATCCACTTTACAAATGCCTCCTAACATCCTCCTGGGCACAACAAATGATCTCTTCTATTATCAAATGATCTATTCTATTATTAACACCAGACTCTACAAAATGGAAGGATAACAGCATTGCAGGAGGCAAAGAAGAGTAATATCCATTCTTGGCATATGAAACCGGACAGAAAGATTCACTCAAGAGGCCCAGCATGGCCCAAACATATCAAGGATAACTGGATTTGGATGTTAACACTGGGGTGCGGGGGGTGCACTAGGTCTTTTACATTTACTTACAAAGTAAAAACTTTGTTCCACTCGGGATTGAGGTTTTTGTACACGGTGTGTGTCTGCAGCCGGTCATTGCCCAATTCCAACAAGCAGAAAGGATCACTCTTCCCTGGAAAGAGATAGCCCAGGTGAATCAACCACTCAAGCCCAGGCAAAATGGGCAGGCCGCAATATCACTTCTGGAAATACGCCCCAAAGGCCCAAAAACACACAGCAGAAATGCCATCTGCACTCCTATGTTCATTGCAGCACTATTCACAATAGCCAGAATCTGGAAACTACTTGAGTGCCCAAGAACAGATGACTGGATAAACTATGGTTCATCTACACAGTCACTAGGAAAAATAAAGTCATGACTTTGCTTATACATGGATGAACATGGAGTGTTATCATGCTGAGTGAAATGAGTCAGAAGGAGAGGGACATACAGAATGATTGCACTCATTCATGGGATACTATGAGACTATTACCCATGAATAGTAGAAACAAGGGCCAGGAGGACCAGTCCATGTTTGGAAGTTTGCCACAAGTAGCAGGGAAAAGGCACTAAGGGTAGAGAAGGGACCACTGTGACAATGATAGTTGGAAATTATCACTCTGGACAAGAACTGAGTGTGGAAAGGAGATAAAGGGATATACATGATAACCTTTTAGTACCTGTGTTGCAAACCATAGTGCCCCAAAAGAAAAAAAAGACAGAGAGAAGGGGGGGCGTGTGTGTGTGTGTGTGTGTGTGTGTGTGTGTGTGTGTGTGTGTGAGAGAGAGAGAGAGAGAGAGAGAGAGAGCAGGAGAAAGGGAGAGAAATATTCTGCCACAAAGGTAGGCCCAGGTTGGAGGCAGAAGGGCGAGAAAGTGGTGTGAGGACATGGGTGGTGGAAAACGTGTACTGGGGAAGGGTTGGGTATTGGAACACTGTATGACTGAAACTCAACCATGAATTGTGTATATCACCATGATATAATTTTAAAATATTTTTAAATGCCTGGCAAGCTCCCCGTGACGTATTCGATATGCCAGACACAGTAACAACAAAGTCTCCAACGGAGACGTTACTGGGCCCGCTCGAGCAAATCGATGATCAACGGGAGGGCCTTTACTTTACTTTTACTTTACTTTTAAATGTTTTTAATTGAAAAAATATAAATCTCAGTAGTGTCAGGGATGAGCTTGAATCCAATGGCGCCCATCCCTCTCCTTCAAACCGTGTGTGCTGAAGGAGCTGAGTGAGATGCAACATGATTCTCTGCGCAGCAGCAGGAACCCATGGGACAATGCAGAAGAGTCCCACTGCCCCACAGAGGAACCTCAGAAGTGAGGTAGATGCCCTGGGGTCCACTACAGGTGGGCCTCAGTAAAAAACACCTGACTCTGCAATAAAGCAAATGTCAAGATCTTTAGATTCAAATCAAGAATATTGGAGTTAGGAAGATGATTCAAGGTGTGGCATGCAGGTCTGGCATTCTTCAGGCGCTCAATCTGATCCCAGGCACTGTCCATTTCCCTCTCACTCTCCATCAGTGTGTCTCTAAGCCTGAACACTGAACCATCAGGCAGCAGAACAGCTGAACTGCAGTTCAGGGCCTGAGAAGGCCTCCCAGGTAGCCTGAGCCCAGGTAGAAGGCCCCTCTGCAAATAATTCTACCCAACACACAAATCTGGGAAACCAGGCCTGGAAAAACCTGCAGAAACCAGTGAATGCTTGGAAAGGGCTGGGAAGATGCACTCCTTCTCCTCCCCCACACCCCCGCCCTGTCCCAAGAAACTTTGGGGCTCACACAACACACCCCACCCACAACCTCCCTACCCGTGAGACTCCTCCCAACTGGCTTCCTGGCCTCAATGTAGCGTATGAGACAGGCCAGAGCAAGTGGCATCAGACAGCTCCAGCCCAGCCCTTTGCCCATGCCCCACCATGGGCTCAGGGAAGGGGCTACTGTCGTGTCCATGTCTGGGATGGATCCCACACTCCACATTCCCCTGGCAAACAAGCAAAGGGAGCAGCATTCCCCCTCAATGCCGCCTACCACCGCCGGGCAGAGTCACTACCAAAGCCAGCCCCCTGAAGCCCACCCCCTTCTGCACAATATTTTGCTGACTTGAAGACAAGTGGACTCTGGCAGTGTGGCTTGCAAGGAGGTGTGAGGGGGCCACGGAGGCATTGGGGCGTCTGCCCAGGACTTGGGAAGCATCTGTTTCTTCCTTCCTGCATGCTGCAGGTTGCGGGCTTGGGTAGAGCGAGGCCAGCTGCCTCTACCCAGGCCACTTAACCATTTTTCAGACGGTTAGCAGGTGTCTCTCCTATTCCTGCAGGGCCACGGTGTGACATGCCATCAGCATGGGCTCTGGGGAAACCATCTGACACTTTTCATGATAGCCCCAGGGTGAACACGCAGCAGGGCTGAGACAGGGCGGGTCCCACCCAGGCACAGGTGGGCTGGAGCAGAAACACCCCCCCACAGCACCCCCCAGCAACCCCCCCGCCCCTCAACCAGCACAGAGCACACAGTCCCAGCTAATGAGGAACCGTCCACCAATGGGTCCATGTCTGCAACTGCGTCTCGGAGGAGTGCGCAGCACCAACTCTCCCAAGATGAGGCCGTCAAAATTCATTAAAATGCTGCATTTATTAATACCATGGCATAAACAGAAGGAGGGAGGGAGGGAGGGAGGAGGAGGAGGGAGACAAAGACTTCCAAATGCAGAGAGAGTTCAAAAGCGTGGGCATGGGGAGGGAGACAGAGAAGGGGGACGGGGATGGGGGGTGCCAAGCTCAAATCCTGGGGCTACAAACACTTTTCACGGACTTGAGATAAGGAAGATTCTTCTGCGGTGGGGGAGGGGGGAATCAAATAAAACCCCAGCATAAGCGCAAAGTCGTAACAGTCCTGGATGGGACTAAGTGGGCTGACAGGGACCACAGGCAAGTCTGGTTCTATGCTGGTGATCTCTGTCCCAGCTAGGACATGTAAGGATCTCCATCCCAACAGACACAATGCTTAGACGCCCAGAGTCTCCACGGCAAGCTCGGGGTTGACCACATTGCACTCAGCAACTCTGATTATGTTTCCAACCACTTGGCTAGCCTGTCTCAGCCAGTGAACCAGAGACATCAGCTTCACTGACTTTTTACTTTGTTGAAGTCTGAATGACAGAGCAAGAGTACAGCAGGGAAGGCATTGGCCTTGCACACAATCAACCCAGGTTCAATCCCCAGCATCCCATATGGTTCCCCGAGCACTGCCAGGAGTGATTCCTGAATGCAGAGCCAGGAGTCAGCCCTGAGCATCACTGGGTGTGGCCTAAGACTGAAAAAAAAATCCATGATCAAAATGTATTGGCTTTGCCCACAATCCCTTCAAAGCTGGAAATAAGAATGACCAGGAAAAAGGTTTTTTACCTGAGAAATCTGCTGCTAAGAGGTCTACTGCTTTCAGCACTTTCACTTGTAAAATACCCACATCCTTCAGGTCCTGCAGGGAATTCTGTAAGCACTGTAGGAGGGAGAAACAAGGAAAACACCAATGAAAAGGCTTTATTTTTCTTTTTTGGGCTTTTATTGGGGGGGTGAGGGTCACACCCAATGATGTTACACATGGCCCTGCACTCAGGAATTACTTCTGGTAGTGCTCGGGAGACCCTCCAGGATGCCGGGGATCTAACCCCAGTCGGCCACATGCAAGGCAAATGCCCTCCCCATTGTACTATCGCTCCAGCTCCAGCTTGATTTTTTTTAATTTTTTAATTTTTATTAGTGAGACACCATGAGGTACAGTTGTAGACTTACAAATTTTTGTGCTTGAGTTTCAATTATACAATGACCAAATACACATCCCTCCACCAGTGCAGCTTGATTTTTTTAAAGATACACCTTAATGCCACAAGGCTGTCGAGGGAGAGTCCCCTCCATCAACCACTGTCTTTCTAGGGGCATCCTACAGTACCCTCTGTGCACAGGAAGGCCTGGCTTTGAAGCCACCAGAGAAACCATGAATGAATCAATGAACCTGAGTCTCCAAACAAACGGCCAATCACAATCTCCTTTGCACATCACTCCCCAGGAATAGAACTGATACCTCACCGTGCAAATGTCTGTGGAGTCCCTTTCACGCCCTTCTTCCTCCCTTCCTGCCCTTTAATGAAATGTGAACCGGCCCAAAAGGTATCATCATTTTGACCTCGTTAGTGTAGACTTTAATAGATACTGAAAGAAGGAACAGGAACCCTTCCCAATACTTATCATTGTGGCCAAAAGAGTAGAAGGTGGAAAACAGAGTGAATGTTTCTCCGTAAACAGAAATTAAAGCAGCAGCACTGACTCTGGACTCACATTTCTTTTCTTTTTGAGCTGGCGGGCATCAGAGGTTGACTCTGCCCCGTGTTGATTCTTAAGCGCAAGCCACAATATTTAGCTGTCTGTGCTTGGGGCATGCTGAAGAAATGAGTCAGCCTCCAGAACATTTGGCTATACAGTGTTCCTCTCCTCACTGGACAGCGAAAAACCTGTGATAAGCTGAGCCCAGGATTTGATGGAAGAAGCTGTTCTGGTGACACAGGTATTTTGGGATCAAAAAGCAGCAGCTTAGAGTTAAGGGTTGCCTAAACAAGCAGGCACCATTCGAAGGCCTTTGGAAAGTTGCTTCTGCTCTTTTTATTTGGGGGTGGGGGAAGAGGGGTGTCTTTTCTCCATAGGGAGTGCATGGGGTAATTTCTGGCTCTGTGCTCAAGAGAGTGGTGTTTAGGGGATCAAATGAAGTGCTAGGGATAAAACTGTCTTGCCCTTTATTTTGTTACTGTGTTACTGTGTTTGGCATATCAAATACGTCACAGGGAGCTTGCCAGGCTTTGCCGTGCGGGCAAGATACTCTCGGTAGCTTGCCGGGCTCTCCGAGAGGGGCGGAGGAATTGAACTCGGGTCAGCCATGTTGGCCGCGTGCAAGGCAAACGCCCTACCGCTGTGCTATCGCTCTAGCCCTGAAACAAAAACAAAGCTAGGTTTCTTGATTGTTGTTGTTGTTGTTATTATTATTATTGTTTGATTTTGGACCACACCTGGTAATGCTCAGGAATTACTCCTGGCAGTCCTCAGGGACCATATGGGATGCCAGGGACCAAAACTGTACTAGCTTGCAAGGCGAGTGTACTCCGTGCTGTATATTAATGCTCTAGCCCCAAAATGAAGTTAGGTTTTAAGCTAAAGTGAAAAGATTTGAAACAAGGTAATTTTAGGTAGGGGAGAGCTAAAAACAGGGTTTTAGGTTTAAGGTTCTTGCTTTGCATGTGGTTGGACCTAATTTGATCCCTGGCACTGCACAGGGTCCCCACTTCTGAGCACCCCTAGAGGTGATCCCAGAACATAGAGCCAAGAGTGAGCCCTGAGCACTGCCAGGTGTCATGACCCAAAAGCCAATCACAGTAATTACAACGATGATGAAAAATAAAACACCTGGCAAATCTCGCACATGGCTACGATTAGCCAGGACAGAACAGGGTTTTTCATGCCTGTACAGTATTCTGCTTTCCAAGCATTTGGTCTTTAATCACCTGACCCCAAAAGGTTCTGGAAGAGTATCTGTAACACCGCAAATGTTCACACTTGGGGACCCAAAGAAAAAGTCCCGTCTAGTGAAGTCACATTCAAATTTCTATTTCCACAATGCAGGGGGGCTGAATCCAAGCTTTTTGCCTCCCAGAAGATTTTTCTGCAGTTTCCCCCAAATTCACCCTGCTCACACCAACCCCCACCTCTTCTCTGAGCACACTCATCTTCTCTTGCCTTCTCAGGAACTACCCCTCAGCTTTGCCTCCTGAGTTCAGTTGGAACAAATGTCCTCCTGCAAGCTCTTCCTTTCAGAGACTTTGTTTACAATGTGTCAGCTTAAAAGCTCCTACCTGGGTGTACTGTGTGTGTCTTCTTAGATGACTTTCTCAACACAAAGACCAAATTTCAACTTAAACACAGGTTGTATGTGTGTGTGTGTATGGGGGGGGGGGGGTTAATCAAACAAAACGCTCATACAATGAGTGTTAGTTTGCTCAAAGGAAACATACGTATAGTGTGTGTGTGTGTGTGTTAGTTTGCTCAAAGGAAACATGCGTATACTGTGTGTTGGTTTAATCAAACAACATACACACGTGTGTGTATGTGTGTGTGAGTGTGTGTGTGTTGGTTTGATCAGGTGTGACACTCACGTAGCGCTGGGCGATCTGCTTTCTTTCGCTGGGGTCCGCCAGGGGGCACACACAGAGGTCAGAGATGGAGACCCCCGTGCAGGGCGTGAGCGTAACCAGCATCCGCAGCGCCCCTACACAGCGGTCCAGTGGCAGATCCATGCAATTCTCGTGCTTGATTGGGAGGGCCGAGATATCTACTTTACACCTAAAGTAGAGTCACACCCAATCAGAGAAAGGAAATTCCTTCCCGAGTCCCGGCCGCTTTGGCGCCCCCTCCAGACCCTCCCCCCAAACCCAGAATTTCATTCTGCCTGCATCCAAATTCGTGGAGCCCCCAAATGTGATGCCTGCCCCCCCCCCACGCAGTCCCTCACACACTGAACACTGGCTCAGCCTTCACTAAGGTCAGAGAAGTGCAGTGAGGCACGAGGGAACCAGGGGTCTTCTCGTCCACCTGAATATCCCAGGGAAAAGACCTCATCTCAGCACTGACGCCAATGGAATTAACAATTGTTTTCATTTTTGTTTTGAGAGCTTTGGGGTGACACCAGACAGTGCCCAGGGGCTACACTTGGCTCTTATGTTCATCAATCATTCCTGATGGTGCTGGGGGCACACAATGGTGTCCAGGGTAAAAACCGGGTGTCCGGCACACAAGGTAAGTGACTGACCCCCGGTACTACCTCTCTGGCCCAAAGTTGGTGTTTGGCTTTTTGATTGTTCTTTAAGGAGGAAAGACAAGAGAAATAAAGTACTGCCGGCAGGGGAGGGGTCACAGAAAATGTTTTCCTGTGACTGAATGCCAGTTGGAGAGTCTTTTATTAGAAGAACAGCGTGAAGGTATTTCCCTGATGGGCTCAACCCCTCCCCCACCCCTCATCGCCCCACACCCCAAGAGCTACTGATCGATTGATTGCATTTCAGCTGCACTGCTAGGAAAGGCAGCTGCCCTCTGCGAGAAATTTCCTGTTCTCTGCCTCTGCGCAGTCAGGGTTCTGGGGAGGCAGAAAAACTCCACATACATGAAACCCATAGGGCAAAGCGGGCTGGCGCGTGAAGCCACTGATTTGATTTTAAGATGGAAAAACCCTCCAGGCTTGCGCTGGACTGTCTCTACGCAGGAAAGGGAAGAAGGCAGAGCTCCCCTGGCAGGAGAGAGCAACCCTGCCAAGTGGTCTGCGGGACTTAAAACACTTCCCCTCAGATACTTTGCACACAAGAAACTCAGACTCTAGCCCCAGAATAGCACAGGGTCCCCCTGACCCTCAGGAGCCACTTCTAGGTCAAAGGTGCAGGGAGAAGCCTCTTGAGTGTGAGAACCAAAAGATAATAAACAGAAGAAACTGTATATTCTCTCTGATTATGGAATTCCCTAGCATCACCCAAAATATCTGAGGCTGTATGGAGTGTGAAAAAAAAAGATTCATTTGGTTAAAGAGAAAGGACCACTATGCCAAAGAGACTTGGAAATGATCACTCTGGATAAGAAGTGTGTGCTGAAAATAGGTAAAGGAACAAACACGTTAATCTCTCAGTATCTGTATTGCAAACCATTATGCCCAAAGGGGCTGAGGGGCAGAGAGAGAGAGAGAGAGAGAGAGAGAGAGAGAGAGAGAGAGAGAGAGAGGGAGAGGAGAGAGTGAGGAGAGAGAGAGACAGATAGAGAGAGAGAGACAGACAGACAGACAGACAGACAGAGAGGAGAGAGCAAGTTTTCCATAGAGACAGGCTGGTGGGTGGGGGTGGGGAGGGAAACTGAGGATATTGGTGGTGGGAACTACACTGGTAGAGGATTGGAAAGGGTGCTGGAACACTGTGTGACTGAAACCCAACCATGAACAGCCTTGTAACTGTGTATCTCACAGTGAGTCAATAATAATAGTAATAATAATAATAATATATCTGGTGAGGGCCAGAGAGGACAGTGGGTGGGGCGCATGCCTTGCATGTGGCCAACCCGGGTCTGATCTCCAGCATCCCACAGGGTCCTCCAAGCACCACCAGGAGTGATCACTGAGCACAGAGCCAGGAGTCAGCCCTGAGGAGACAGATCCTATATTTTCTCTCCCACTTTCCCCCAGGGAAGGTCCTGCTTCTCTGGGGCTGACCTGGCCAGGGGAGAACGTGAGGTTCAGGTGAAGGCCCCACAGGCTCTGACCCTGGCCCAGCGCCCGCCTCCTCCCTCCAGCAGCGCGGAACTCACGTGCCCAGGCGTTCGTCGTGCTTTTTGCTGTCCTTTCCCCACACTTCAATGTCCAAGATGCCCATCCTGTCAGAGAAGTAGTGAAAGTCAAACTGTTCCTGCCACTGCGGATTTGCACTCTTAACCAGTGTCTAGAAAACATGCAGTTATGACATTTATTTTCTTAAAATGCCATTCATTGCGACAGCAGCTACACAGTCAATTGCATTTCTACACTGCGACGGCGGGGGGGGGGGGGGGGGGGGGGGGAGCAGAGAGGCCAGGGGCGTCTAAGTTTCAGGAACTGGCCCGTCATTACTGCTCTGTCAGCTGACCTCCTCGGATCCCCATCACTCACCCAACCAAGTTGCAGAGAATATCATTATCCCACAGGATAAGACAAGGAACACACATACATGCATATACACAAATATACAGGGAGAGAGAGAGAGAGAGAGAGATGCACAATGGACATTTTCACAGTGGTTCTCTCACTTGCACAGTCATTTTTATTATTAATACTAAATGACTATGGCTTGAGAGCCACTCCTTGCTATGCTAAGGGGCTACTTCTGACTCTATGCTCAGAGATGGTTTCTGGTGGTAGCGGGGATCAATCCGGAGTCAACCGCACGCAAGGCAAACTCCATGACCCCCGGCTCATCTCTCCGGCCCCAGCCAAAAAACGAGGGAAAGTGCAGAGATGAAACTCAAGACCTCACACGTCCGAGATCTGGTCATGCTCTTCTTCAGAGCCAGCTCTCTGCTGCCCAGCTGACATTTTGCAAAGGTCTCTGCAGCCAGAGCTGACTTAGGAACGAAACACAGCATGGGGTCTGAATGAACAGCTGGCCCGACATGAGGAGCCCCCCCATAAAGTCACCCTCCACAGCCTCCAAGTCTGAAATCCAAGGTTTTGGAATCCAGTCTCTGGAGGGAGAGGCATGTGGGGAGGTGGAGAGTGAGGTCTGCAAACCTTGGAAACATATCTGTGTTCTCCAGGAAGCCGTTTAAGCTGTTCTTGCAGCTCTAGCTCATGGGCATGAGCCCGCCCTGGGTTTCACTTGCACAGAGAGTCCCTTCGTGAACAAGGAGTGAGCGAGCGAGGATGATGTGACTGGACTACAGGATTCCGAGGCATGAACACAACATTCCCCATGGACCCTGTATCACTGTATCACTGTCCTCCCATTGGTCATCGAATTACTCGAGTGGGCGTTAGTAACGTCTCTATTCCTCCCAGTCCTGAGATTTTAGCAGCCTCTTCTTACTTGTCTTTTCCCAATGACTAGAGGCTCTTTCAGGGTCAGGGGAATGAAACCTACGGTCGTTACTATATTTGGCATATCGAATACGCCATGGGGAGCTTGCCAGGCTCTGCCTGTGCAGGCGGGATACTCTTGGTAGCTTGCCGGGCTCTCCAAGAGGTATAATCAACCCTAATGCCAAGTATTTCCAGAATCTTGGGCCCAACTCAGGCTGGAGCCCAAGGTTTGTATTTCACCGCATAATCACCCACACCCTATTTTTTGTTTGTTTTTCTTTTTTTTTTTTAGTTCAACTCTGTTCAGAACTTTTTCTTAAAAGTCTCGTATGATCGCACCCCATTATCTTGCAAAAAAGGGGGGGAGGCCATAAAATCTGCAACGAGGGATCACAGTGATAGTACAGCAGGTAAGGTTGCTTGCCTTATACGTGGCCAACCTGGGTTCGATCCCCAGAATCCCATTTAGTTCCTGAAGCCTTCCAGGACTGATCCCTGAGTGCACAGGTAGGAATAAACCCTGAGTGAGCGCTATGCACTCCCCTGAAAAAATAATCAATGATTATGTGGTGAAATATGGTAACATCATTTAGAGAGCTTCTCACTTGGCATATTGGGCTTATGATATCAGACCAAAGAATTTAGAAACCATAAGGAAATGAGAGGTGGGTGGAAACATGTCCTATTAGAATACAAATTAAATGCAATGTCCCCTGAGAAAGAACATAGCAGGTATCAGATTAATTCTACACTTTACCTGAGTCACTCGGACTAAGAGATTTTTTTTTTCATTCTTTGCCAAAGCCCGCTGGCTAGAGGAATCTTAGCAGAGACATATGGTGACCCTGAAACTGCTGGTTAAAATAATTATCTGAAGGGACTGGAGCAATAGTAGAGCGGGGAGGGCATTTGCCTTGCACACGGCTGACCCAGGTCCCATCCCAGGCATGCCAGATGGTCCCCTGAGCCTGCCAAGAATGATCTGAGCACAGAGCCAGGAGTAAGCCCTGAACATCACTAGATGTGACCCCCTCCAAAAATATATAAAATAATTATCTGCATACTTCCGCCTTCCCACACCCTCAATGTTTCACATTTCTTACAAACTCGTGTTCCTTGACACAAACCTCAATTTTCTACTCCTTCTGCTGGAGCAAATGATATTTAATGTTTGCGTTTTGCACTGGAAACTGTGCAGTGGAGACCACTTCTTGCCCGCCTCAATCGTTTCCCGACTCATCTGCCTCTCTCGGGTCCTCTCCCCTGCAAAGCCTGAACTGCAAATATTTATTCTCAGGCCAATTTCAAAATTTTCCATTGCCCCCTTTCCCCCCACCCCCTTCTGGCTTTTGGTAAATGACTTTACTTGCAAGTTCCCTGCTCCCTCCCATCCATAAAACCTAGGAAATATTCCTGTCTGAGATTTATGCAAAACTAATTAATTACCATGGTTTGGAGACTATGGTTTTTGAAATAAAAAACACACCAAATGACTAAGATCGAAAACCTAATGGGATTCGGATCAGCGAACAAAATGACTGATTTTTTTTTTAAATAGCTTAAAATGCCATAGCTTTAGCTCACAACAAATTGCTTTGAGTCTTTTATTTATTTATTTTGAAGGGATGTGTTGGGGGTGGAGGGGCGCAGGGAAATCAGCAAAAAGTCCAGTGGTACTACAGGTCTGTTTTGGAGACTAATGAAAATATATGAGAGAAAAAAAACTGTTTTGAAAACACATTTAGTTATCTCCGATATCTCTGATATCCTAATGTGATATATTATACAATCTTATTTTTATAGGGGTTTGAAAACATTTATTACTGTCTTTGCTGCATTCTGGGAAATCCGGTGGCTTATTTTCAAAGTGAAAATAAATCATGCATTCAAATCTATTATTCGATCAGCTCTCTCTAGTCTTAGTTACTGTATTAAAATACATTAAGCTAAAGTATCCAAACAGCCGTCTTAGTTGACAACAGCTATTATTATCAGGGAAGCTCCTAGCGGGATTAAGAACGTTAAAAATAACACAGTTGAGCGTGGGAAAATAGTTCTCTGACTTGTGGTTTGTTGTCATCGAGGTCTGAGCTTCCTTACGGAGTGACCCGTACATACCTTGCTCTTATACCTCTGATCTCCCAGTCGGAACTGGACAAACATTTCGGCCACATTGCCTCCTGAGACATTCATTCCTTCCAACAAGGTGATGCTGATGACACCATTCCAGAGCTGGTTCTTCCTCAAGGACTCTGAGAGACGCAAATTGCGTATCAAAGACGACTAGAGAGAAAGAAAAATAAAATAAAATAAAAACACAGAAATTACATTATGAGTCTGGCTGGGGGTGCCAGAGCACCACAGGGTGATGGGAGCATTTTGGGGGGTCTTGAAGCTTATTCTTCATATTTTGCCCAGCCCCCTGGCCTGCTTCTGTGACTCCTTAGCTATGGGGCCTGGGCAACCCTTGTATTTCTGTTTGGTAGAAATCTTTCCCCTGGGCCTTAGGCTCTTACTAGCTTAGAGCTTTTCCTGGCAGGAAGGGAAGAAAGAAAGGCACTCTGGGAGACAGGACAACAAAACTCAGGCTTTGCAGGGAAACAGACTTCCTCTGGGCTCCCCAGAAACAAAAGTTTGAATTTCTTCCTCACACCTTGAATCTGCCTTCAGCCCCCTCTATTCCATGGGTGACCCGTAAAACTCAAAGGAACAGTGTGGGGTTCCCTGCGCTCAGATTCAATTAAATGAACAGGAAAGGGGAAGATGGATCAGAATGTCACCCAGGGTCTAGAACCCAGCAGGGACTCAGTACATGTTCACTTATTCCCACCCTAACCCCCAACCTTCACTTTCTAAATATTAATGTACCTCACACCCACCCCCTTTGATGGGAATATAGGAAGAGGTGAGCATCCCCCATTATGAGAAAGAGGGAAAGGCACACTTTCTTCTTAATTTTTATCTGATACATTTTCATCACACACAGAAGGGAGAGAGAAAAGTGTAAAAAGTCAGTAGTCTTATTCACCAGATTCAACACTTTTGTTTTGTATGGGGCCACATCCGGTGACAGTCAGGGGTTATTGCTGGCTGTGAGCTCAGGAATTATTCCTGGCAGTGCTCAGGGGACCCTGTGGGTGCTCAGAGGACCCTGTGGGGTGTAAGCAGGGTTAGCCATGAGCAAAGCAAGCACCCTCCCCACTGTACTCTCTCTAGGGCCAGACTCAAAAGTTTGCCTGCACCATCTGAGTTTCTCCGCCCTTCCCCTCTAGTCTTTGCTTTCCTTGTCTGACATCTTTGACAGCCAGCTGGGTTTTGACATAACCACCAGGACAGGCTCTTTCCCCATGCGAGAAACTGTCACTCCATTCAACTCAAGCACCCAGGAGAGATTCATACTTCTCTCATTCATGTTTCTTGGGTCTTCTTTTCAGAGGGGCTTGGTTTGTGCTGGACTCCACAAAGAGAGCTGCATACTATGGACAAATGTCATCTCTGCCCTTCCAGTGGCAACAGGGCCCAGTATCTGCAGAAGAATCAGTCGTGCTGGACACTATACATGGCCTTGAGCATCCTTGTCAAGCCATGAATTTTCAGCAACCCTGCCAGATGCTCAATGTGTCTTCGGGATCACTTAAACACCAATTTGCTCAGACATCAGCAGGTCACAATATATCCCAACAAATGGGGTATCAGGCCCTATTAACGACATACTGGCTTACCTCACCCTACACATGTCGGGCCTCATTCTTAATCAAGGACACCAGCAGGCACTGCATGCAGCTGGCCGAACATTTTAGGGCAGTCTAAAGCAAAACATTTTGAAGGTAACTTATAACCTAAGAATTTGTGTCAACGTATCTTTTCCCTGAGAATACACACACACACACACACACACACACACACACACACACACACACACACAGCATTTGCAGGAACACAACAAAGGTGCACATGCATGCACAAATAGGCATACACATGCACACACACACACTATGCCCAGAAGCACAGATACACATGCACAGACACACATACAGGCACAGACACACAGACACACGCAGACACAGACACACACACAGACATAGACACAGACACACAGGCAAACACAGGTACACACATGCAGAGTCATACAGACACACACACATGCACAGAGGAACACACAGGCATGCACACACAGACACACACATATAGATGCATACACAAAGGCACACACATGCACACACACAGTAGCATGCACTTGAGCACACACATGCATACGCACAGGCACACACAGGCATGCATGCACATAGCAGCATACATATGGAGGCATACACACAGATGCACACACAGACACACACAGTGGCACAGACACACAGTGACACACATGTGGGCACACACAGCATCAAATTCACACCCAAACCTCATGTACATACGTGTACATGTGCAGACATGCACGCTCACACCCACAGTGCTCACGAGTCCGGAGACACAGCAGGGATGGCAGATGGAGAAAGATTTCATTGTAAAGGGGAAAATAAACAGGCTGGAGAGATAGTGCAGCAGGTACAACACTTGCCTTGCATGTGGCTGAAACCACAGGATGTCAGGGTCCAATCCCTGACATCCCACATATTCAATCCCTGAACCTCCAGGAGTGATGCCTGAGCGCAGTGACAGGAGTAAGCCTTGGGCATCACTGGATGCTCCACCCCCCCGAAAAAGAAAAGAAAAGAAAGGAAGGAAGGAAAATAATGTTCTCTCCTCAGAACACCAACAACTCTCTCATCCCTTGTCTACACACTTAGCTGTGACAGGACGAGATCTGAGAAGAAGGGCTTATGAAAGAGTTAAAGCAAGTTTTGCTCTTGCAAGGACACACCCTATCAGCATTTGACAGAAAATTGCATGTTTCTCTGTGGGTTTGTGTGCCTGCCCCTGAGCTTCATGCATTTCCTAGTGTATTAAGAGCATGGGCTACAGATGTTCATCTAAAATTTTTACACATTTCTGATTCATCTGTCCCAGGCAATTTTCTTTTTTATCTTTTTTCTTTTTTTTTTCCTCCTTCTTAAAAGTTGGACTTGCCAAGCCACGAGCTCCAGCATGACCTGTCCCCTGGTCATGCTTCAAAGTTCCGACAGATCTATCCCTCCCTAAACACTGCAGCTATTTCAAAATCCTTTTTATAAAGAAGGGAGTAATGTCCACAGGGGGCCAAAGGCCAGCCTCCAGTCTGGCGACGGCCTAAGAAAAATGGCAGCACTTTCCATGAAATATGCCCTAAAATAATTTTGCGGCTTGCTCTGTCCTAATTTCAAATTGGATGTTTATCTTGGAACGGCTTCTATCCGACTTGTCCATAAAACAGCCCCACTTAGTCCTCTGAGCTCTGTGAAAATGGAAACCAAAGCTGGTTATTAAGGGGACCGAGAGATGGCTTCCATATGGCGGAACAGCATGGGAGGGCAAGAGAAAGGTCTGCGTTGGGGGCGCTTGGCTGGAGCCCCAGCTCCATCCACAGACGCTCATTGCTCTGCGCGGAGCAGCTGGATTATTGCTAGCAATGGCCCTGGGAAATATCCTCTTTCCAGCCGAGCCTTTATCTAGCTCCGCCGGACTTTGAACACGCTCGCATTTAGCACAGTCACGTTTGATGTGACAGGCTTGTTCTTTGTTGTGCGGCATTTCTATGTGTCTCTTCCTTCCTGAAGGCAGGGGGGAGGGAAAGAGAAGAATGTAGTCCATGAAGACAGGACTCTAGACCTTAAGTGTGTGTGTCTCCCTTCCCTGGCCGGCACAGCGCTCTCCAACAACAAGGAGGTCAAGTATGTTTTCATCCAGAAGTAACAGATTTGGGTCTTGGTTTTTTTTTTTTAAGTTTTGGTGGGGGGACACACTTAGCAGTGCTCAGGCCTTACTCCTGGCCCAGGGGATCATTCCTGGCAGGGCTTGGGAGACCCTTGGGGATGCCGGGTTTGACCTGTGCAAGGCAAGTACCCTCCGTACCATTGGACTATCTCTCCAGTCCTTTGTTCGGTTTTGTTTGTCTGTGGGGGTCACAATGCACAGAGCTCGGGACCAACTTCTGGCTCTGCACGCAGGAATCACTCCTAGAGGTGCTGAAGCGATTCACAGGCAGTGCCGGGGATCAAGCCGGGTTGACTGTGCGTAAGGCAAGCACCTTCCCCGCTGGGTTATCATCTCCCAGGGCCCAGTGCTCTGAACTAGTCTCTTTGGTTCAGTGTCAGGACTTGTGTCAGGAGCCAGCCCCAATATTGCCTGGGGGGAGAGGGGGCACGACACACAAGGGATCAAACCACACACACTCCAGCCCCTGCAGTTACTTCCCAGCCCACTAGAGAAGTTTCTTAAACCCTTAATGTTGCTCCGTCCCTCTAGAGGCTAGCGATGAGGCCTGGCCTCAGGGTCACCCTCTGCATGCCAAATGCAAGGTCGGGCTCTTGGAATCTTCCAGGCTTCGCCAACCACCTCTCTCTCCCCCACGATAAATCGACTCCTCAGTCATCACTCTGAGCTTGAGAGCTCCGGATTTTGTGTCCCAGCTCTGAATAATCGGGAAAATCTGTCATCTTAATGCAGCCTATTGTATAAGGCAGGGGAGGAGATAGCCCATCAAAGGGGTCAGGGGTACCCCACCTGAGCTGAGACAAATGCCAGGAGTTGGAGCAAAGTTCCTGGGTCCTGACACTAATTTCTCAGCAGACATAACCCAATAAAACACAGAGTGCATCAGAGTTGTGTTTTTTCTCTCCTTCTTCCCAAGAAATAGGAGCCCTTGATGACAGGGCAGGTGGATGGAAATTCATTCACAGGTTCTCACTCCCCTCCCCAGCCCTACCTGCTCCACAGTCCTGCATCTACACACAAAGTCCAACTTCTTGGAAAGCTGTTAGCACCCAGGTGAGTCACCCAGAAAATCAGTCGTGATGGCTAGCTCGGGACCATCTTCCTTAAAAAGGGAATGGCATGGGAGCCGGGGAAGGGAGCACCATAACTGGAACTCAACTGAATTTAAAAAGAAAAAGAAAGGAAAATCTTAGGAACAATTTACTTCCAGGGTAGAGGCTGAGCCACATCCTGTGGTGCTCAGGAGCTATTCTTGGGTCAGTGCTCAGGGGTGATCTCTGGCTGTGCTCAGGGGACTAAATATGGTGGCAGGAATTTGAACCACGTTCAGAAGATGCCAGGCTGGCACTGAAGTTCTGTGCATGTTGCCTGATTTTTAAATATAACATGGAAATCCTAAAACAAAAAAACGAAATATATATAAACTTATAGTTCAAAAAGTTACCAAGCTAAGCTGGCCAGACCACTCGGAACTCCCCTACTGTACAAACATCTGCAGATTCTCTCAGAAACACATTTCACGAACGGCCAGTGAGCAACTCAATCCAGATTCAGTCTGGCCAGGATTCGACCTGGAAATTCTTTGCTCCATGCTAAACTAAAAGAAAACCAGCCGCTGCCATGTACCCGCCCCATATCCACACCCCATCTGGACCAGTGGTCAGCCCCTGGGCTCTGCCCGTGGAATGTTCTAGAAAGTGCCCCCATGAGGAAGAGAAAAGAAAGCCACAGCTGAGTGGACCTCGGGCTCTGCAGCTCACCCATAAATACTGCCCCCCTTTCATATTTCTGATCTCTTTATCAAGCCCATCAACATCCTTTCTCTCCTCCCTTCCTTTCCGGGGCCTTGCTTTCCATAACCTCACTGGCCCTCCCTGGATTTAGCTGGTCCCCACGCTCACAATTTTTCTTTCCAGTCTTTATGGCCTTGTACAAACTGCCCGTGCTTCTCCACAGGCCGGAGCTCCCTAACTAAAGAAGGTTATTGATGTACAGTCCTGGGGTTTTAGTGCAGTGGTAGAATCAATAAAGGAGAAAATACTGCTTGGTCAGGCTTCAGCAAGGAGCAATGCTGGGATTCTTTACGGCCTGGGCCCTGTTACAGACCCCCTTAGCGCAGAGAGCGGGGTCCTGTCTGCAGCCGGCATGATCCGTTTCTACCCTCTAGTGACGACAGGGGAATAAGACCCAAGTTGCAGGGATCTCAGGCACAGCTGCACCTGGCGATTTATTGCGTCTTGATTTTATTTCCCAGAGAGGGTCTTTTGAAAGAAAACAGGAAGAAAGAAAGAAAGAAAGAAAGAAAGAAAGAAAGAAAGAAAGAAAGAAAGAAAGAAGAAGAAGAAAAGAAAGAAAAGAAGGGAAAAGCACCAGGATCTGTCTCTGGAGCACAGGAATCCGAACGTGAACAAAGCATGGATGGTGGCCACAGTCCCTGGACATAAAGAAATGCAAAAAAAGATGGATGTTGGGAGAAAAAGTCTGTGTTTGGATTCTTTTGGATTTCTCAAAGCAAAGTGGGGAGAGTTTTGTCTTAGGGAGAGTTGACAGCTGCTTTCTCTCTCTCTCTCTCTCTCTCTCTCTCTCTCTCACACACACACACACACACACACACTCTCATCTCTGTTTCATTCTCCTTATTTTACAGAGAAGAAAGTGACTGTAGAACACTGAGCTCCAAAATTAGCAGTGATATATTAATACGAGACACAGATTTTCTTATGTCCTTCCTTTCCCCGACACATGCATGTGCGCACACACACACACACACACACACACACATACACATACACTGCTTCTTTTACCTTAAAATATTGCAGAATTACTAAACTATCAACGCATTGGCGGGAGAGGGGGGTTGTCTAATTTTCTCCTACCTGAAATTACCTCTCTCACAACTTGATAATTTAATGATCTCATAAATTCATCATGCACTCTGACCTGCACCTCTGTTTGCTTGCTTGTTTGTTTGTTTGTTTGTTTGTTTTGGAAAATCTGGAAGAAGAAATCTCTCAAGAGGACTCTTGCCCCTGAAAAGGTAATAAACAACTTTGCTAGAAGATATAAAAGGACATTTCTGCAATGGGGCGCTATTCCTCTCAATTAATCCTTTCATTGCCCTTGTAACAACCGTGCTAGCTCCCTTCGAACTGTAAATAACTTCCGAAAGGATTAAATGGAGCCAAGCTACACTCCAAATAATCCGGGCTTAATGAAGTGGAACAGTCAACACTCTGGTGCCTGTAAAATGTCACCGCAGAAACAAGTGTTAAGTTCAAACATCTGGTTATGCCCATTATGGGACTTTTAAAAGGGAGATGGTTCTATCTTTTTCCAATAGCAGAAAGAGGAAAAGGATGAAGACGCTCACTCATTTAAGCCATGCATGCATTTGAGTCCATGATAAAGATGAAGCTTCTGTTGTTTGCTGTTGTTGGTTTTTTTTTTCATCCACCATCAAAATGATGTAAATAAGAAATGTTTATAGTTACCTTGCTGGCACTTAACCTCTTCCGGTTGGACCAATGCTAGGTACAGGGTCCGTGGAGTGGAGGAAAATGGCAAAAGAAAAGAAAGATTGTTAACAACATATTTCTATTCTTCTAGAAAGGAGGGAATGAGAGTTGAGTTATGCTCCCAATGCCTACCTTTCTGCAGAAAACAGAAATCTTAGAAACTTTTGGGGGCTGAATTACATTATTTCTTCATAATTACAGAGTTACAGAGTTACAGAGAACCGGGTCCAGAAGATGCTGCTTAACCCTTGGACCTTAGTTCCTTGGACCTTATGACACTGTCCTGCCATCTGTCCCCCCACCCCATTATGACCTTATGACACTGCCCCCCCCATTGGAAAAACATGGTGAGGATTCTAGAAATGTCTGGAAAACTAACATATCCTACTAGTTTAGGGCTTCATTCTGCATTTGAGATGGGGTGGGGGTGGGAGAAATCACGCCCTTTCCTTTCGCTGCCGAAATCTCTCTATCCAAAATAACCAAGCAGCAGGCAGGGACGTGAAGTGTTTCTGTGGCTTAAGAAAACATAGGCTGGTAAGACAGCAGCAGATGTGAGCCCCCCTCCCCCCAAGACCCCCCCGCCAACACACACATACCAGCTCTCTCTGGTTCTCTCACTTCTCATGCTCTGGCCACGGGATTTTAGCTACAAGGAAAAGTCACCCCTAACAAAATTATCTCCTCTTTCCCACCACTCTTCAGGAACAGCAAAAGCTCTCTCCACTGGTTGGTTACCTGGCTAACTGGACATTCAAAACTTGGTCAAATCTGGGAGATGATTATGTAATTATGAACCTAATTGAGCACAGAACATTTTTTATTATTCTTAAGGAGAAAAACAAAAAACAAAAAAACCTTTAGGCAAACGCTCTCTGCTTGGCAAAGCATCACATCAATAAATTGAAAATTTGTTTTTTTTTTTTTTTGGTGTGGGTTCGGGGGTTGGGGAGGGTTCTAGAGGTAAACTTTCATTTCTGGAACAGCCTAGGTCCAGAAATGACTAGAAAAGATTCTTCATTGAAAACACGTTCCAAATTGAAAACCGTGAGTCAGTAATCAGCCCAGGCTAAGACTTAGAGACCATGATCTCTCCAGTTAAAAGCAGTTTCTTTTTTTGTATTTTTCTCACTGCCTCCAGGCAAATAACTCAAAAGCACCCCTAAACTTAATCACCATCTTCTCGATAAGAAGATAAGGCAAGGCTACTGGGGCCTCAGGCCCTAGACCTCATTGGCTTTTACAACCATCAAAAACTAAATGAAGTGGGTGAAGCAGTGAAAAGAAAGAGATGCTTCCCAGTAGCTACTGACAATCCTAAAGCCAGCCAGAGATGTTTCACCCTGTGCTACATCAACGGTTAATGATCTCAATTTTCATAATTCTAGGAAGGCCTTTTTTTAAAAAAAAAAAAAATCATCCTCATTTTATGAGTGAGAAAATTGTACCTGAGAAAGCTTAAGTAGTCTGTAAAATGGTCTTCCTTGCTTTAAAACGTCTCAAAATTAGAAATTAATGTTGCTGGGAGTCAAATCCGCATAGTCTGATAACTGAGCCCTTATTCCATATTTCTAAAAACTATGCTGGGTGTTTTGGTAGATTTGTTTGGGGGTTTTTTTGTTTTGTTTTGTTTTGTTTTGTTTCTCATTTCTTTTTTTTTTCCTTGCCCCAAAGGAAAAGAAACAGGTTTGTCAGCAATCCTGTTCCTGAACTTTAAAATTCCTAGAGAAAAATCACACGCATTTCACTGATTTTTGTCAGTTGGACGCCAGAGACAAAAAACAACTTTCCGGGCCAGCGAGAGAAACTCAGACAAAACTCAGAACTGGAACTCGAACCCCTCCATCTGTCTCCGAATTAAAGTGCAAATGCATGAACCAATGATTCCTAATCAAACCAGCTTGCTGCTCTGTCTCCATCTAAAAACCCAGTATAAGATCTCAAGGAGCTGAGCCATAGCACCGTGGGGAAGGTGCCTGCCTTGTACACAGCCAACCTAGGTTCAATTCCTGGCACGCCATAGGGTCCCCTGAGCACGGCCAGAAATAATTCCTGAGTACAGATCCAGGAGTAACCCCTGAGCAAATTGCAGATTGTGGCAAAATAATAATAATAATAATAATAATAATAATAATAATAATAATAGCAAAACTTCAAATAAATAAAGGATCACCTACAGACACAAACTTAAAGGCACTTAAACAATGCCTCTTAAAATCTATGATCTATTATTATCCAAATGATTCCTGATCACATAATTTGGGTCAAGTATCATTATCACTTTGCTCGAGCAGGCACCAGTAATGTCTCCAGCCATCCTTGTCACATGCTAGTGTAGCCTGATGGCATACTGGGGGCTCTTTCAGGGTCAGAGGAATAAGGACCATCATTGTTACTGTTTTGGGCATATCGAGTACACCACGGGTAGCTTGTCAGGCTCTGCCATGCGGGCGGGATACTCTCAGTAGCTTGCTGGGCTCTCCAAGAGGGATGGAAGCTTTTGGGGCAGCCTCTTATCACCTTTACAGGTGTTCCCAGTCAGGCATATATGCGGGCAGGATACTCTCGGTAGCCTGCCGGGTTCTCTGAGAGTGAGAACTAGACAATAAGAGGTGTTCCGGGAGCTTGGTTTTATAGTCTCTGGATCTTAGCCATTGATGGGGTTACACGGCAGTTGGTGGGTGTAACTGTCTAGCTACTGGAAGATGGGGGATCAAGTATAGACAGGAAAATAAAGTGACCAATGGGGGTGAAAATAGAAGAGATCTGACCGGGTTTTCTATCATATCTCCATAATAGCAAAAACATCTGAAATAAGGATCTATGACACTAAGCTTCAGTGAGTTGAGCAAAGAAGGAAGACCAAGGAGCGAGCAAATAAATAAGCAGATATATAGACAAATTCCCCTGAACAGGAGGTGGAGAGAGGGCAGAGTGAGTGAGACCAAATAGGATAACCAGTACGGCGAGTCTCCTGAATTCTCACCCAAAGAGAAAACTGGAGTTGCATGGTGCATTAATTGTTCTGCAACTTGAAAACCACTTCATCTAAAGCGGTCTGGGCTCACATTATCCTACCATGGGGGCAATTATTTAAAGAGAATTAAGTACAGTTTCAGGAAATCTAGTAAAAGAAACAAAGTTAAAGCGAGCCAGACACATTCACAACGGTCCAGAAAAAAATTCACCACAGGGCATAAATGCACAGTTCTGCCTCATACCATCTTCTGGGGGGTGGGGAAGGACAGGACTCTGGAGACCCTACTTGCAAGCATTCTAACCTCATTTCTGTATGTTTCTCTACAGTGACATCAAATCTGGCTGGTTCTACACCGTCAGGACAAATGAAATTCCTCTGTGATACTGATTTATTCAACATCCACTGCAGATCTCTGGCCATCGACATAGCAACTTTATGGAAGGCTTAATTTTGGTCTTGGGGGCCACACCCAGTAGTGCTCAGGGCTTACTCCTGACTCTGTGCTCAGGAATCACTCCTGGCATGGTTTGGGGGCCCATCTGGGGTTTCAAGGATCAAACCCAAGTCTGTCTTGTGTGAGGCAAATGCTTGAAGTCTTAGACTATCTCTCTGGCCCCCAGGGCTTGAGTTTTTAGAGACTTTTGTTAAAAATAAATAAGAAGTGTTATTTTTTTTCTAGTTTTTCCAACTGAAAATTGAGTATATGAATCCAAATTAAAAAATAGCAATGAGGTAACTGACTGGCAATTGAATTTGTATTTAAATAAGATGGCTATTTAAATAAGATGTGGGTATCTAAATAAGATGCACTTTTCCAAATCCTCCCTTTTCTCTGGTGTAAGTTTCCCAAGTATAAATCAGTCACCATTTTCATCCTGAAAATAAATTCCAATAAAAGGCCTGTGTAATGTCAAAATGCTGAATATTCTCTGCAACCACTCCACAGATTCAACTCTGAGAATATACCACAGGAGGGTTCATTTATTAAAAGAACTTCAGAATTTCCCACCAGATTCTAAACATGTTCAGGCTGAAACACAGTTTAGTCCCTTTTTTTAAGTAGTTAATTGAGATGTCCCTTAAGAATGTCTTGGAAAAAGCTATGAGCAAAGCTATACATATATTTTAAATCCTTATGTCAATTCTGAAAATTAAGAGGCATATAGTCCCTAATAAATAAAACCACAGTAGATAATCTCATCACTGTTCATAAGAACAGAGTTCAGATCATAAAGCTTTGCTGATGTTAAGACGGATTCAAAGGTGACATGTTAACTCCAAATTTCTGTGAACTTGAATTTTTTGTGCACTAAAAAGAGAGCAGAGCAAAATTTGTCTTTTCCCAAAAATGTTCACAATTTTTAAAAAAAAATTGTAAATGGGGAAAAAAACAGAAGCAGCAACTGAAATGCTGCAAATACATCATCTGCAAAATATCTGACTTCCTTAACCATATGCAATGCTGCAAATATCTGACCACCTTAATCACACACAATGGAATCATCAAGTCATGGGAACTGCTTCGCGCAACGAAATAATACAGAATAAGGAGGTGACTGCACTTAGAAAATGAGTATTTTGGAGTCCCTGTGATAAGCCAGCCCTAAGCAGCACATAATAGCTTCGTAACTGCAATGCTATCAGTATCCTCAGTCAACAGGAAGACAATTCCCTCATGCATTTTCTTTCCAGAATTTTAAAGATATGAGCGCGGGTTAGGGAGTTTAAGTCTCTTTTAATATTATTTTTGCCCCCTCCCCCGCCATCTAGCCGCACCCACCCCCCCCCCCCCCGCCACCCCAACAATGAGCAGAACATCAGCCTGCTGACAGCCACTCATAAAGAGCAGCTGCACAGAAGAATTTTTTTAAAGGACAAAGGAGCCACTTACATGTCTTTTGAAATCACCCTGCTTGACTACGAGGTTCAAATTTAATACAATCACTCCCATGTCCTCTTCCAAACTGTTAGGATCTTCCAATTTTAAAATATGTTCGGTCGTTCTACATGTTAAAAACAAATTAAAAGCAACGCATTGTTTTGGCCTTTAGTGGCAGTGTTAAATGCTCTCTATAATGTTATCACAAGAAGTCAGAGTCAGCACCCTGGGAATCAGGACACGATGCCCTTAACCACGTACCAAATGCAGCAAAAATAAACTCCCCATCTTCAGGGAAGAGACAATGTTTAGCCTAATTCAACAGTTGGTTCATTTCTCCCCTTACTACCCAAATAAAGTCTACATATTTGTTCTCATTTGATCTCCAGGAAGTTAATGAGCCTGACCATTAACAACTGAAAGCATATACATTTTTTTAAACGCTTCCCAGAAGACTTAATCCCGGACTGATACAGGCAGGAGCTCAAAAACGCAATACAAAAAAAATCTTAGGAAAACTCACATCTTTTAAAACACACTCTGGTTTATTTAGAATGTGGGGTATGGTCTGGTCTAAACAACCCCCCCCACCCCCATCATGTTGAGTTTCTTCCAAAATCGATTGACAATAGTTAGAAGGGGGAGATATCATACCTGTTAAGTTCAAGTTCATTGAGGATGATAAAGGCAGAACCCATGAAATCCGATGTTGTCAGATCTCTGTCATATACCTACAGGAAGGAAAAAGCCAATATGACATAAAAAGCCGATGAGAGTTTCTCAGATTAATAAACACCCTCAGCTGGCAATTAAGACCTCCTACGTCTGAAATGAGTGCGTACCATATAGTGACGGCAGAAAGGCAGCCAGGCCGAATGGAGGGGACAAAAATGACTCATGCGTGCCCATTTCTCCTACCCCAGTGAAAAAGCAAAAAAGGAATTTTTTGAAAAGACAGCCGCGGTGTTTGCATGCCTAAACGTCACAGACAATGGCGCACTCCTTGGAGTTAAACTCGTCTCTCATTATAATTTAGGATTTTCACAATGAGAAGTGCTTCAGATCAAATGGGTTTTGCTCAGGGTTCTAGAGCAACCCCATCCCACCCTCAGCTGGGAATTTTGACCCAGATGTCAGAACCTTGAATGCTCGTGGCCTGGAAACGGAGATAGCTCTATGAAGTATTAAATGACTCCTGAGGAGGAAAGTTTCGTGCTCAGACCACAGCTGGAGGAGTAATAATTCTTCCACATTCCCTAGTTCAAGCACAATCAATGGACAGATAGTTTTCCCTCTGATTTTTCTGCAACTCCCATCTGAAATGTGCATTTCTGCAAAGGACAGAATACCTCTTCCCCTTCTCCTTCCCAGGCTGACAGAAGGCTCTGAAGTCACAGCTTAGGAATTAATTTGGGGGGGTCCACTTTTCAGGGGATGGAGGTGGCAGAGAAATAATGGGTTTTTTATCCCCCAGGAGGGCATCTGGGAAAGGGGTCAGTTACCTTCACTCGGAGCTTTTGAGCCAGGCTTTGGATGGGCAACACAACAATCTCATCCCACACAGGGTTCAAATTCTTGTAGATGACTTTGCTTTTGTACAGGGTCTTTCCGTTCAGTTTAAATTTCACATAGGGATCACTTGTGCCTTTAATAAAACAGAGAGAGAGAGAGAGGCAGATACAGAGAGAGAGATAGAGAGAGAGTGCAAGACAGGATTTTACAAACAAGTAAAAAACCAAGGATCTCCATTAAGTAAAAATTCCTTCCAAGTTCCCAGCATTCCCCCTACCCTGCAAACACCCAAAACAAATGTCTAGAGGGAGATAGGAGAATGAGGAACAGACCGATTCTCCTTTGCCAGTATAGCAAGAGAAGAGAAGAGAAATTGGGCTCTTTGAACTTTTTCTTTTCTCCCCGTTTTGCTCTCATTGTGATCATGCCATCTGCTCCCCACAAAACAGTCCAGAAATAAAATCTACCAAACCCTCCAGGGACTCTTAGGAACCCCCAAGCAGAATCCCAGCCCTCTTAAGAATGGCACCCCACAAGAATGTGTGTGAATGGAAAGAACCTGGGATTTGAAAATAATAATAATAATGATGATGAAGATGATGATAATAATAAATAAGTCAGGCTCCAAAATACTGGCTCAAAAGATGGGGCTTCAATGCTGAGATGCAATAATATTCACACATTTTCTTCTAATGAAATATTTTTGATCATTTTTAGCTAATTAAATTTTTTTGCTAATTTTTAGCTAATTTAAATTTTAGCTAATTTAATTTTGTGGCAAGATAATTGAAACAAAGAACAGTAGACTACTCATCATTACGAGGACGCAATTTAGCAAAATCATACTGGTAACACCTTATATATTTAAATGCTCAAAGCATTATTCTATAGAAATTGTAGGAAATCACCTTCTAGATTGAAAGCTATTTCTGTGAAGAAATCCTCAATTTTAAACAGCAGGTTTCTATGGGTCAATCATAAGTTTTTAAAAATTTTAACATGTAAATAATGATTGGGCTGGAGCGATAGCACAGCAGGTAGGGTGTTTGCCTTGCACACGGCCGACCCGGGTTCGATTCCTCCGTTCCTCTCGAAGAGCCCAGCAAGCTACCTAGAGTATCCTGCCTGCACTGCAGAGCCTGGCAAGCTCCCCGTGGCGTATTAAATATGCCAAAAACAGTAACAGCAAGTCTTACAGTAGAGACGTTACTGGTGCCTACTCGAGCAAATCGATGAACAACAGGAGGACAGTGCTACAGTGCTACAGTACTTTAGCGAATTATAACAAGCAATAGAAAATAAAATTATTCAAAACTATTCAGGGCATACAATATGGGCAGGCCTGAGGGGTGGTTGGACAAACTGGAAATAATGGTAGTGGGAAGGTGCAATAATGGTGGGACTGGTGCTGGAATACTGAATGCAATAAATTATGAACAACTTTAAAAAAATAAATAAAAATAAAAGATGGGGCTTCGGTGATGGAGGAAGGCAGAAGTGAGGTGCAAAAGAGAAAGTAAGGCTGCCACCGAAGGGGGGTGGCTGGGAGAGTGTGCCCACGTGGGGGTGAGGTGGGCAAAGGGTCCTTTCTCCCCAGACACCCCTCACCCGCAGGAGAGAGGCAAGCAGGGTCCCACGCTGGCCAGCTGGAGCCACATCAGCAAGGCCGCTGCTGTCTACGACACCTGGCAACTTTGAAACATGAACCAAAGGGAAGGAGTAACAGGTACTAACACACACACACACACACATACAAATATACACGCAGATACACATATAGACACACACAGAGACACAAATATGTACACATAGAGACACACACAGATACACACATACAGACACACACAAATATATACACTCGGACACACAGAGACACAGACATACAGTCACACACACACACATAGCCACAGGGATGCACACACACAGAACACAGACGTATGCACAGATACATACAGACATACACACAGACACAGATATAGACACTCAGACACACACAGAAACACACACAGACACACACATGGAGATACAGACACACGCAGAAAATACACACACAGCCACCGGCACACACGCAGGTACACACACATATACAGACACACAGGCTACGGGAGCAAGAAGAGGGCTGCCGGCCCACACTTTCCAAAATGACTGGGAAACCAGAACTCCTTACAACCTAACACACACACACACACACACACACGCACATATACACACACACACACCACCGAGGCCTTCCATGCACAATCCAGGCCTACGGGAGACGGACATGACCTCAGAGCTCCAACTGACGGTCACTAATACTGACCCCGTCATTCGGGATTCCTCTCCTTATCTCCCCACCTCCACCACACCCCACTTGTTACATGTGTCCCTGCCATTCCACCTGGAACCCCCCGGCCACAACAAAGCCAAGTGAAGGACACTGCACCTTCCCCCATGAACCCAGAAGCTGGGGCCAGAATGATAGGGCAGCTGGGAGGGCACTTGGCTTGCACGTGGCTGACCTTTGCTTGAACCCCAGCATCCCATAGGGTCCCCTGAGCAGGAGTGATTTCTGAGTGCAGAGCCAGGACCCTTGAGCATCACCAGGTATGAGTTAAAAAAAAAAAAAAAAACCTTCCCTGTGCTCCCCCCGACCCCACACACACACACACACACACACAACCTGGGTGCAATTTGGACCCAGCTCTACAGTCTCACTTTCTTTACCACGAACTCAGACAATCGCACACATGTCCAGGGGTGGAGTTAGCAACCCCCCGAGTGAAGCTTGGTGCAAAAGGTGGAGATTAATGTCAACCTGAACACACACACACACACACACACACACACACGTCCACATACTCCGAGCACATTAACCATTCACAAGGCAGTAAATACGATGGCTTCACCAGCCATTCACGCCATGAGACATCCCTCCCGGGAGTAAGCTGCCTCCCAGATGCCCCTCAAGCTGACCTCTCTGGCCTGGTGAGTCAGACTTTGAACAACCCTTCTGCTATCATTCATGCTCTTGGAAAAAAAAAAACTGGGGAGGAGGGGGAAGAAAAACTATAATAAAAAAGGGGCCTTTAATTAAATGAAATTGTCACTCTGGGATCAGGCCTTCATGCTTGTCAGCATCCCCTCAAAATAAACATCTCAGAACTCGATCCCCGCGGTGTCACTTTCTCCGAGGCAAAGCGGACTGGGGAATCCCCAGGCATCCTGGCAGCTACAGAACGTTCCAACTGTTTCACGGGTGAGCGGCGCCCGTGGCGTGAAAGAAAACATGAATGTCTGGAATTAATAGGGGGAGAAAAAGGGAACGGGGCTTCCAAAGCCAAACAGGGGAGAGGGTGTCAAGTTAGTGCTGTGTTAATTGTGAGGGGGAGGAAAGAATGGGGGGAAGGGAAGGCGTGCGCGTGTGTGTGTGTGTGTGTGTGTGTGTGTGTGTGTAAGCGCGCATGCCTGCACACATCGTGGATTTTCTCTGAGACTCTAAGTGCCTGTCCAGCCTGTGACATCTCAACTAGGCAGCTTCTTGAGAGGGGGGTCAAAACCCACCAGGAATGCTCATTCGGATTCAACACCCCTTTAACTTAACACTTAAATGCTCTTTCCAGGCCAGGTACTTCCCAAATAAGGAGGTTCTGGAGAGTAAGGAGGAGTATAAAGCTCGGTGAGCCTCCCACCCCGCCCCATACACACACACACACACACACACACACACACACACACACACCAGTCGATGGTGCTGTGTACACTCCAGAGTCACAGGATCTCAGTGCTAGCAGTGAAGCACCCCATGCTCCCAACCCAGCCACCAGCCCCTGTGTACCTGGAGTGGTACAGTCCAAATGTGGGTCCCCTCGGCTGTGACTTAGTTGCCTGCCCGGCCCTCTGAGCACCACCGTCATGCCCCAGGCTGGGCTGGGGTGATCACAGCTCCAAGAGGTACCTGAGAAGGTTTCTCTCAGACCCACCTTGCAGGCACAGGTCACCCCCCCCCCCAATATAAGTATTAGGGAGTGAGTGGCACCATGCCCTTCAACTTAGCACATAGGCTGGTTCATGGATGAGACACACTCTCACTAAGAGATGGGAGGTACAGGAAGGCCAGGAGGGGTGAACAGAGGTCATTTCTGCAGGAGGATCAGGCATCAAGGTGGGAGCCCATGTGGGCAGACTCCAGGAACAATAACCTAAGAATGTCTCCGAGGCTGTCTAAAGTGGTCTCCAAAAACCTAAAGCTGGGTTTAGAAGAACTAAAAAAGCAGTGTATCTCTTTTTAGTATTCTTTTTTAAATTTTTGGTTCAGGAGCCAAATCAAAGCTGTGTTCAGGGTTTACTCCCAGCTCTGTGCTCCGGGATCACCCCTGGCGGTGCTGGGGACTGAACCCTAGATAGCCGTGCAAGCCAAGCACCCTCCTCCTGGACCATCTCTAAGCCTGGTGTTGTTTCTTAAAACAAAAAAATTCATAGATAAAATAATAAGTCAGTGCCCTGATCCAGTCTGAAATGGAGAACAAAGGATCTCTCTCAAGCTCTCTCCTCCTCTCTTTCCTTCACACCAACCCTTCCAATGTGCCTGTTTCTTGGCTACTTCACAGGAGAAAACACAACTGTAGTCAGTGGTCCAGACGCCGAACTGATACTCTTTCAGGGACATCCCCCCAGCAAGGCCTTTGAGCCTGCAACACAGAGTTCACCGAGTGGGTTTTCTGACTTTGGGGGGGCACAGGAACTGTGTGGCAGTGCGGGCAGTGCTCAGGGCTTAATCTTGGCTCTGCACTCAGAGACCACTCCTCACTATCTTGGGGGACCATAGGAGGTGAGAGACCAGGCTGACCCCATGCAAGGAAGATGTCCCACCTGCTGTACTATCTCTCTGGCTGCTTTTCTGATGCTTTTTACCTTCCTTTTGATTGATGGCTTTTGTTTGTGTGTGTTTGGCGATGCTCAGGGGTTACTCCTGGCTCTGTGCTCAGGAATCACTCCTGACAGTGCTCAGGGGACTCTATGGGGTGCCGGGGGTTAGGTTGGGGGAGCAACTACACATAGGAGAGGCCAGGTTGGCCTTGTGCAAAGTAAGCACCCTACCCGCTATCCTATTGCTCTAGCCCTCACTTTTTAATTTATATATCTATTTTGCCA